AGTCATTTTGAATCTTGGGAACCCGGATTTCTGCAACGGATCACACTTGTACTACCTCTATGCAACTCACCCACACCAATTTGGGCATGTCCCAGCCAACTAAAGCCGAAAATCTGGCTTTGAAATCTCAAATTTGAAAACACCCGAAAATGCCCCTTTTCGGCCCATTTTTCGGCCCATTTTCCCCCCTGAAGGCCCCAAATAACTGGTAACGTACTTCCAGATCAACCAGGGTGCCAACCAAACTCATTGGAGACGTTTTAGGGCGAAATATGGATGTCTCCAAAAAATTCCCATGGATTCCAAAATGTCTCCAATTTTTTACAAAATCTTTTCAAGTCATTTTGAATCTTGGGAACCCGGATTTCTGCAACGGATCACACTTGTACTACCTCTATGCAACTCACCCACACCAATTTGGGCATGTCCCAGCCAACTAAAGCCGAAAATCTGGCTTTGAAAATTGAAATCTCAAATTTGAAAACACCCGAAAATGCCCCTTTTCGGCCCATTTTTCGGCCCATTTTTCGGCCCATTTTCGCCCCTGAAGGCCCCAAATAACTGGTAACGTACTTCCAGATCAACCAGGGTGCCAACCAAACTCATTGGAGACGTTTTAGGACGAAATATGGATGTCTCCAAAAAATTCCCATGGATTCCAAAATGTCTCCAATTTTTTACAAAATCTTTTCAAGTCATTTTGAATCTTGGGAACCCGGATTTCTGCAACGGATCACACTTGTACTACCTCTATGCAACTCACCCACACCAATTTGGGCATGTCCCAGCCAACTAACTAACTAAAGCCGAAAATCTGGCTTTGAAATCTCAAATTTGAAAACACCCGAAAATGCCCCTTTTCGTCCCATTTTTCGGCCCATTTTCCCCCCTGAAGGCCCCAAATAACTAGTAACGTACTTCCAGATCAACCAGGGTGCCAACCAAACTCATTGGAGACGTTTTAGGACGAAATATGGATGTCTCCAAAAAATTCCCATGGATTCCAAAATGTCTCCAATTTTTTACAAAATCTTTTCAAGTCATTTTGAATCATGGGAACCCGGAATTCTGCAACGGATCACACTTGTACTACCTCTATGCAACTCACCCACACCAATTTGGGCATGTCCCAGCCAACTAAAGCCGAAAATCTGGCTTTGAAATTTCAAATTTGAAAACTCCCGAAAATGCCCCTTTTCGGCCCATTTTTCGGCCCATTTTCCCCCCTGAAGGCTCCAAATAACTGGTAAAGTACTTCCAGATCAACCAGGGTGCCAACCAAACTCATTGGAGACGTTTTAGGGCGAAATATGGATGTCTCCAAAAAATTCCCATGGATTCCAAAATGTCTCCAATTTTTTACAAAATCTTTTCAAGTCATTTTGAATCATGGGAACCCGGAATTCTGCAACGGATCACACTTGTACTACCTCTATGCAACTCACCCACACCAATTTGGGCATGTCCCAGCCAACTAAAGCCGAAAATCTGGCTTTGAAATCTCAAATTTGAAAACACCCGAAAATGCCCCCTTTCGGCCCATTTTTAGGCCCATTTTCCCCCCTGAAGGCCCCAAATAACTGGTAATGTACTTCCAGATCAACCAGGGTGCCAACCAAATTCATTGGAGACGTTTTAGGGCGAAATATGGATGTCTCCAAAAAATTCCCATGGATTCCAAAATGTCTCCAATTTTTTACAAAATCTTTTCAAGTCATTTTGAATCTTGGGAACCCGGATTTCTGCAACGGATCACACTTGTACTACCTCTATGCAACTCACCCACACCAATTTGGGCATGTCCCAGCCAACTAAAGCCGAAAATCTGGCTTTGAAATCTCAAATTTGAAAACACCCGAAAATGCCCCCTTTCGGCCCATTTTTCGGCCCATTTTCCCCCCTGAAGGCCCCAAATAACTGGTAACGTACTTCCAGATCAACCAGGGTGCCAACCAAACTCATTGGAGACGTTTTAGGGCGAAATATGGATGTCTCCAAAAAATTCCCATGGATTCCAAAATGTCTCCAATTTTTTACAAAATCTTTTCAAGTCATTTTGAATCTTGGGAACCCGGATTTCTGCAACGGATCACACTTGTACTACCTCTATGCAACTCACCCACACCAATTTGGGCATGTCTCAGCCAACTAAAGCCGAAAATCTGGCTTTGAAATCTCAAATTTGAAAACACCCGAAAATGCCCCCTTTCGGCCCATTTTTAGGCCCATTTTCCCCCCTGAAGGCCCCAAATAACTGGTAATGTACTTCCAGATCAACCAGCGTGCCAACCAAATTCATTGGAGACGTTTTAGGGCGAAATATGGATGTCTCCAAAAAATTCCCATGGATTCCAAAATGTCTCCAATTTTTTACAAAATCTTTTCAAGTCATTTTGAATCTTGGGAACCCGGATTTCTGCAACGGATCACACTTGTACTACCTCTATGCAACTCACCCACACCAATTTGGGTATGTCCCAGCCAACTAAAGCCGAAAATCTGGCTTTGAAATCTCAAATTTGAAAACACCCGAAAATGCCCCCTTTCGGCCCATTTTTCGGCCCATTTTCCCCCCTGAAGGCCCCAAATAACTGGTAACGTACTTCCAGATCAACCAGGGTGCCAACCAAACTCATTGGAGACGTTTTAGGGCGAAATATGGATGTCTCCAAAAAATTCCCATGGATTCCAAAATGTCTCCAATTTTTTACAAAATCTTTTCAAGTCATTTTGAATCTTGGGAACCCGGATTTCTGCAACGGATCACACTTGTACTACCTCTATGCAACTCACCCACACCAATTTGGGCATGTCCCAGCCAACTAAAGCCGAAAATCTGGCTTTGAAATCTCAAATTTGAAAACACCCGAAAATGCCCCTTTTCGGCCCATTTTTCGGCCCATTTTCCCCCCTGAAGGCCCCAAATAACTGGTAACGTACTTCCAGATCAACCAGGGTGCCAACCAAATTCATTGGAGACGTTTTAGGGCGAAATATGGATGTCTCCAAAAAATTCCCATGGATCCAAAATGTCTCCAATTTTTTACAAAATCTTTTCAAGTCATTTTGAATCTTGGGAACCCGGATTTCTGCAACGGATCACACTTGTACTACCTCTATGCAACTCACCCACACCAATTTGGGCATGTCCCAGCCAACTAAAGCCGAAAATCTGGCTTTGAAATCTCAAATTTGAAAACACCCGAAAATGCCCCTTTTCGGCCCATTTTTCGGCCCATTTTCCCCCCTGAAGGCCCCAAATAACTGGTAACGTACTTCCAGATCAACCAGGGTGCCAACCAAACTCATTGGAGACGTTTTAGGGCGAAATATGGATGTCTCCAAAAAATTCCCATGGATTCCAAAATGTCTCCAATTTTTTACAAAATCTTTTCAAGTCATTTTGAATCTTGGGAACCCGGATTTCTGCAACGGATCACACTTGTACTACCTCTATGCAACTCACCCACACCAATTTGGGCATGTCCCAGCCAACTAAAGCCGAAAATCTGGCTTTGAAATCTCAAATTTGAAAACACCCGAAAATGCCCCTTTTCGGCCCATTTTTCGGCCCATTTTCCCCCCTGAAGGCCCCAAATAACTGGTAACGTACTTCCAGATCAACCAGGGTGCCAACCAAACTCATTGGAAACGTTTTAGGGCGAAATATGGAAAACAAAATTTTGACATTTTTTTTGGCAAATATGGTTCACCACCCCCCTTTTTTGTCTTCTTTTCGCATGTGAAAGGTCTTAGTTTGTTTGAGGGACAGACCAGAACTCAGTTAAGCTATATACAGCTAATTTAGGTGCTTAAATATCAATAATACGTAATTCCCCTCTAATTCCCCTCCAATTCCCATGAAATTCCCATGGAGACAATGTCTCCAAAATGTCTCCAAATATGAGGAATCATAATATCTCAGCTTTTTGGTAAAACTACGGAAAGAAAAGATTTTCGGTGAATTTGTACATTAATATGTAGGTTATATTAATATGCAGGCTATTATACAAATTCCGATTCTTTGTCAAGATTGCCACTGATTTTTAGAAAAAATCTTAAAGACATTTCATTTTGTATTACAATATGCTAAGGAAGCCACCGCCCACCACTCTCTGCTGTTCCAAAAGAGATTAAAAAACGTATGAACTACAACTACAGCGTATTTTACAGTTCGAAATATGTGCTGGTTAAAAATGAAACGTGAGAAATCAAAGCCTAAAACTGCCAGATTTCCATCAGTTGCAGAAATAGCAAATAAATGACAGTATTTATCGCACGTGTTTACAATAAAACATAGCCGGTTGCCCAAAACATATATTCAAGCCATTCAAGCGTAACCCACACTTACAAAATTTCTTTTCATCTTAATAAATTGTAAACTAATCAGGGTCTATAATTGGATGACTAAAAATTCTACCTCACAACCTGAATCCAAATTCTCAACATTCCGGTAATAACAATAGAATTTCCAGATTTCCAAATTCATAACTTCGGCAGTTAGTCAATTAAATCAGCCCTCGGTAATGGTAGCCCTTTTAGGTTTAATTAGCTGACAACCTACTCTGCCAATGTTCAGGCTAAACGTGTACACTAAACAGCCAAACTAATTTACACTTTACTTACCCAAGATTTTGTTAGACATGGCTATTAGATATAAAATTCTAGTGATATTTGCGTTTGTTTCGGTGTGTGTGATCAGTGGTGAGACTTGACGCGTACACTGCTAGGTCTCACGAAATAGGGAGGACAGCACAACATTCCACATTTAACATCACAATCTGGTGATTATCAATGCCAAAAGTTCAGCAATTTTATAGCGTTTAGCTAATTATAACATTATCTATTTCTCATATCAAGGATAAATGCACTAAAACTACAACCAAAAAAGCGCTGAGAAAGAAAATCAGAAACGTTGTCTAGGCAACGTTTCTCAAACTTTGTGATGTCAAGATACTGGAATGATCTCAGTAATGTATGTTCTGAAAATTATATCTTACTTGCGCATAGGGGGAGAACTGGTGGACTGTACTGATCGCCATAGAGACACAACGTAACGTTTGTTTCGTTGTTATAGTGATTTGGGTCACATGTTACTGGTACTGGCTCTGCATACCCCAACTGTATTCCTGAAACAAATGTTGAGTTCTCATAGTTATTATAACTCAAATAGTTAATGTAACTTATAGTTAACGTTATTATTACTCAAATGATAGTAATCAATAACTATTTCACAGGTAAAGACGGCCGATGTGGATTAGTACCCATTTATATCTAATGTAGAGTCTAGATGATATAGTGATATGAATTGTAGAGTGTAGACTTATTATATACAGAGGAGAATGCCTTACAGTGTGAGTAATCCATTTATATCATTATGTACATAGTGGCAGCAGTATAAGTGGTTTCTCTAACAAAATCATGGTCCATTTGAACATCAATCGATTTAAATAATCTTCTGGTGAATGGCAAAAATACTGAATTTGTCATATTTATAATTGTGTCGATAGAGAGCAACGAGTTTGTTAGTCAGGAGTCACTCTAATGTGCTTTATTCTGGTGGGTTATTTGCCACGGATAAGTTCATTTTCATAATGCAGCTAGGCCCCCGGAAATGAGAAGAATCAAGTATCGTGATCACCTGATCAACAACCACCAATCAAATTGCTGGAATCATGTCACCTGGTCAACAGTAGCTAATCATAGTGTTGAGGTTAATGATGTAAAAATTACAAGACTACGGTAATACATTCAATCCTGATTCATGGATCAAGCTAATGATGCATACCATGATAATTGATAATCAATATTTAGTTGCCCATTTATAGATTCAAGTGATCTATCAAGTATCAGTCGAACTTTCTAATTTTAAGTCAGTATGCAAGAATCAATTAAAATGGTGTGGGAATAAATCAATAGTAATTACGTTTCTTCGAAAATACTATTTTTGGCGAAACATCATATCAATCATTGTCGTTCGTAAGTAAGCGAACATCTGTTTTTGAAGTTGAGTAAATTTATTTTCATATAATATATAAGTATAATGAGGGATTGTCAGGAACATTAAGAAAAGTACGAATAAATCTACTGTATGGCGCATATCGCACCCAGTGAAACAATGTTTTTTTTTCAGTTAATAATGGTTATGAATAGAGATAATTCATGTGCAAGCTGGGGACCTAAGTAATATTTAAAATTTAATATTTAAATAATGGTTACTTCCTTGTTAATAATAAGAACCAAATTATACACGTCTACCATACATTAAGTCACATTTTTGATTAAAATTGTTGTAAACAATTAGTGCGATTAAATTAGCCGTCGAATAATTATTTAACTAGCGGGAACCCGTCTAAACCTAAATTGGTGTTAATAGACAACAATGTTTATTTCTTTTGCAATTTTTACACCATTTGAGGGTTAAAATTTATCTCTTATTGCCTGGCCAATTTTTATGTATAATGGTGTCAGTAAATTAGCAACAGACATGTATATCGTCTCGCTTTATATATAGCAAGATGGCCAACTTTAATTTTGGTAGAGCATAATTCAGTAGTTAATACTTCAAATTTTGATGTGATATTGTTGATTATGGCTTCACAGCTGCTAAATTGTCACACTTATCTATCAACGCATCCAACCATTCTAATACTCAACGTAACAAATCATGATTTATAATTTAACTCTTTTTATCTTGAATATGAGAGTGAAATCAAAGAGGAATTATACGATTTTATTTCGTGAAATCAATAGAAAACTCGAAAAAATGTACATATAACCATAAGAGAATTGATAAAAGTTGACTTAAATAGACTTTAAGGTGGATTAAAAATGTGCATAATTTCTGACAAAGCCTAAAAGCCTTGGTAACTAAATTTTTGGTAACCTTTATTTCAAAATTCAAATGAATTTAACATCAATGTATTGCGATAACATTTACAGGGTGTTTCAAAAATAATGTCCTGATTTAAAAAACCAATACATTTTTTTATAAAGGAGCAAAATGCCCATTATCGGTTGCCATTATTATATTACTATACACAAGACCAAATATCTACTATGAGGCAAAAACATAATTTAAGAAGGCTAGGAACTTATTGATGAAACTCAACACTACTATACTAGACTGCAGTCTGCAGCTGGAGTGAGAAAATTGTATGTAAAACATTAGTAAAATCTATTTCAGCTTTAAAACCAAAACACGGATCTTAAACCATAATGACATTGGTGCCGATTCTACATAAAATACAGAATGTGTTGAAATTTAAATTTAATGTAATTCAAATGTATTGTAACTCAAATTTATGGGTACTGATATAAGGTATTCAATTACTTTTCCAATTCACAAAATAAGCATTTTTAACTCTTCAAGGAAATTTCCATGAACCTTTTTTTATAGACTTTACACATTACCCAGCTATTTTCAACAGGAAATAAATACTGGCGAAGCCGTGTAAAGTTTTCCGCAATGCAACGAAGTGCATCAATAATTAAAACCAATTAAATATATATTAAAGTTTAGAAGTGATACGAATAGGATGGCAATTAATTCTCATTGAAAACCTTAAAAAGTTATTTTTCAGAAAAGACTGCACTTAGCGCTACGGTAGAAGGAGGTTGTCTAGGAAACCATACTCTAAATATAATAATAACTGTTCCGGATAAAAATGTAATTGTATCTTCGAAATGAAAGTGTGCAGATTTATAATTAGCAAGGCTATTCCAGGACCCAGGTACAATACAGTATTTTATCACATTAACCTTAAACACGCACATTCACATCCCTCGCATGAATTAGAACGTGGTTTAATTGATCTGCACAGCAATAATACACATTACTCGTGCACCTAGACATCAACCTAACTGCTCCAAGTTGCATTAACATGGTGCCGGCCATTCTACATTGATACGAATTAATTGATTGCATTAACGCCAATAATACAGTTAAAGGCAGTCTATATGGAAACTGGCAAGATGTTGCTAATCTGGTCGACAAGACAGCCTTCAAACTCCCCATGTTTCTAGAAACTTCTCCCCACTTAACACACTGACTGGCCAGGTACGACAGGAGAACTAAAGATAGTGAAGAACTAGGTGGGGTTAGTTCCCATTATCTCATACCTGAACATGATGTGTATGACGGCATACGTGCCATTGTGTGACAGCTCGTCATGAAAAATGGTGAGAAAATGGTTTAGTTACAAAAACACGTGGATGAATATGTAACATTACACGTGGCTGCCATGGTAACTATGCTGCGCGGGTGAAATGATTATTACAGCTGTGAGTATCCCCGTAGTATCCCTTACCAAACACAACATGAGACTGTCGCTCTATTTCCCTGGATTAATACGAGACTGTACCTGCTGCCTTAGTAGTGGCAGGCTAGGTCATTTAACCATTTATGGTGAAGTTGAAGCTCCCTGTCCTGTCACAAGTTGTCGTATATGAACGAGGGAATTGTTTTGAGAGACAACCATTTAAGTGTAGCATAGCCAATGTGTCATGAGAACCATTACCGAATTTCTGAACCAATACCGAATATCTGAACCAGTCTATATCATCTGTATATAACGACTGACAATTCGAAATAAGGGAATCCTAAATTCTACCACTTAGAGCCGGAGACCCTTGCCCACCATTACCGAATTTCTGAACCATTACTGAATTTCTGAACCAGTCTGTATAATATATCTAATTCTAGATTCTAGACTATCAATTCGAATTAAGGGAAACTTAAAGTAGGATTTATAACCCTTGACCACCATACTAACCTCTAGTTAAATTTCTTTCATTGTAATATGTATGACTACTCCAGAACTATGCTTTATTCAAATAAAATTGTTTAAAGTATAGTAAGGAACCAAACCGGAGAAATAGTAAACTAACGTACCCTGGAATGTACATGGAATGGTTGGTTTAGGAAACGAGTAGAACCTCATCATGGGAATCTTCTGACAATCCTCGTAGTTCGAACTTCCACAATATTTCAGTCGACAGTAACTCTCCAGAACTACGTCATACTGAAACACAACAAATATTTATATCTGTAGCTGTCTAGTGTACTGAAACATAATGAATCTTTATTATCTGTATCTGTTTCAGTAACAAGGATGGGTTAAGAAGTACATCATTGTTTCACATTCCATCATATCTTAGCTACGTCTGTGTTGTAAAACGCTGAATGTTTTTGGCATGAATCAGAAAGTAAGTAGCTTTGAAATTTCCTAGTTTCCTAAGTCTTTAGTCTCCGCAGGAGTCGACTGGTTCGCGCATGAGCGAGCAATTGTACGAGAAATTGTGCGATTTTTAGAAATTTTACTATCTTGTACAAATGATATAATTGCTCATACGCTCGTGATTAAATAGTAATCAGACCTAAGAACACAATTCTCGTTTTCAAAGTACACCGCAAGACACGCTGCCGCTGTCTTTACTCACATTAAAAACCTAAGGATTCCAGCTTAGCTCACAACCTCATAACCGTAGCCTATAAAGTATTCACTTTCTAGGTCACGTAGCCTGTAAAGTATTCACTTTCTAGACCACGTGACCTATAAAGTAATCACTTTTTAGATCACGTACAAGGTCAAGTAAAGACGCACTAATAGACGCGGGTTAGACCGACATCCCTGCTTTCCGGTCCGAGCAGTCAATCAGACGACCAACATGTCAACAATACTTAACGAGTGCTCAAATCTATTTTCTTCTAAGAGTTTAAATTAAAAGCGCAGAGGTTGCACGTGGTAGGCGTGTACTGTATGTCGGCTGGCACAAATTCATTTCAAGTTATTTCAATGAATTTATATCTGTTGACTGATAAGATCGTGATATTTGACAAAACTTAAATTCCAGATCAGTAATTGGCAGGATTTGAGTTGAATTCCAATCACAAGGCTTAATCTCTTGATAGTAAGCTCTATCTTCTGGCCAGAACGAAAATCGTCGAACTAAATGTGTTCTCTAGCTTTCTAAATTCAAATCACAGGAATGCAGTATTTTAATTTATTTTCCCATGGTAAAAGTTGTATTATTTGATAGTTTTTTTCTTTCAAATGACGTTGGCCTGTGCAGTGTGATAGAGATATACTAGCAAAATACATATTAGCAACAGTAATTTTCGGTGATTTCAAAGGTCAATTTAATCTGACAACACCATGTTAAAACGTGATAACATGCACATTTGTATAATCGAGAATACAGTAGGTTGACACAAGAATTCATCACTTTTAATTCTGATCGCGACAATACAAACAGTGTTACATTTACAACCTTTGATTGAGAAAAATACCAGAAAAATGCCAGAAACATACCAACCTTTCCTTGGGAAACACACTAGTAGAAACATACCAACCTTTGATTGGGAAACACACTAGAAACATACCAACCTTTCCTTGGGAAACACACTAGAAACATACCAACCTTTGATTGGGAAACACACTAGAAACATACCAACCTTTCCTTGGGAAACACACTAGAAACATACCAACCTTTCCTTGGGAAACACACTAGAAACATACCAACCTTTGATTGGGAAACACACTAGAAACATACCAACCTTTCCTTGGGAAACACACTAGAAACATGCCAACCTTTCCTTGGGAAACACACTAGAAACATACCAACCTTTGAAGCTTTGGTTGGGAGACATAGTAGAAACATACCAACCTTTCCTTGGGAAACACACTATAAACATACCAACCTTTTCTTGGGAAACATACTAAAAACATACCAACCTTTGATTGGGAAACACACTATAAACATACCAACCTTTTCTTGGGAAACATACTAGAAACATACCACCCTTTGATTGGGAAACATAATAGAAACATACCAAAAACATACCAACCTTTGATTGAGAGACATTTCCCATGACTTTAGTTACTACACCAGGGTGTACCACCTTATTATACTGGAACAGGTAGAAAGTCACGTTAAAACCAATCACTTTCCGTTCTGTCGTGTTGTAAACAAGATCCAGGTTATTTATCTGCAGAGTTTTAGAATGTTAACATTCTCAAATATAGCTCAAATATAGCTTAAATTTACAAGGAAACTTGTTGAGTTACACGTCATATCCGCACAATTAAAATGATCAACTTTAAAATTGATAAACTATTTATAGTTTTTAATGGAGTAGGTATCATTTCAATCTTCAATTATAAGTCAATTAGTTAATAAGTTAATTAGTTAATAAGTCAATTAGTTATTTGAGTATCACATACTCTGACTTCTATGTTGTTGTCGACTATTTCCCGTTTTTGCACTCCTGACGCTCTTTTAGCCATCGGTCTGACGTTGAAATCATCATATTCGTCTGCGAGAAAATAATAAAAACAAACATGTCAAGATCATATTAAAAAGTAATCAAATCTAATGAGTGTAACTGCAATCCCGTTCAATTTTCCAACCACATGTCAACAACACGAATATTCCTCAATACCAGCTCACTCTAAACACTCCAACATCAAATCCAAAAAGGAATGATGGCTACATACTATGATATAATTTAACAAACACAAAACCAATATTTTCCCGTGATATTACAACAGATCATAGAACATCTCACCTGCCCGTCCTGCCTGTTGTAGTCCCATTAAGAATAGAGAAATAATGGAAGTCTCAAAACACATGGTGTATTCTCCTGACAGCGCTGCCACGTGATCCGTTCCGTCAGGCTCGTCTGGGAGGAATTTTATAAAATTACAAATTACATGATAACTTTCAAACTTTAATTATAGCGAAAATTCAACCCTTTAAAATTATAATTGCAGCAAAACGTCAACCCAGGCTATGGACCAGTTGAAGTTGGAACGTGAGTCGAACATCTCCTCCGAAGTTTAATAGGTCGGGTTAGTTAATTAAATATGTGAAATAGGGCCAAGTTTGGTGTTCCAACATATGATTTGCATTCAAGAAATAGCATGAAAGGAAAGACATTTTCAGAACATGTGCCAAGATTGTGAGTCAAGGGAGTATCCAGGAGGAACGGGGATTGTAATTTAGTTGAACTCGATTGACATAAGGCAAGGATTAGCTATTCTGGAGACTGGAACCACGTTCTCCACAGCTTCCAACCAAATGTTCCCTGGGTGTGTTGTAATGTTGCTGTAGAGCATGCGCGTGTGTCTACAGCAGCAGTGACACAGACACCACACAATCATGGGTCTGTAATGTCTTCCACTCTGTAATGCCTTCCGGTTCCACACCACTTCAATCCGTTTCCAACCTTGCTTCATTACATTAGTCGAACAGCGAATCTGTCCGTAAATAAGCATCTCATTTTGACCATCATGAGCCGATTTTATGTGTATAATACTATCAGAAAATTCACACAATGGAGAGTAGTGTGTGGTTAACAAGCAGTGACGAATCCAAATTGTACTTTAAAACAAGCAAACAGCTAACAGAACAGCCGGCAGTGGAACATATCGCAAGCTCTGAGCAAATAAGTCATTTTGACAGAAATGAGAAATGACAAATTGTTGGCTAGTTTAACTGACAGTAGGTGGGAACTGGAGGGGAAGTGATCTGGAGATTGAAAGAACAGTTACAAGGAGTAATGACATCTTTTAGTTTTACTTGGTTTTTGATGACTAGAAAATTACAAGAAAATGACTAGAAAATTGGGCTATTTTCGTTAATCCAAAATGTAAATTGTAAGCAGATATTGTTGAATTTTAAAAGCCTGTGAGAGACTAGTAGTCTTTGAGATTTAATTGACAGAATGATTACGTAAACAATTATCACTTTTACATGATACGAGCATGATTTTACAGGCACATTAGCAATATTCTTGTGATCAATACATCTGAACATATAATTGTTATAAAACTGATCACATACGAAATTAAACATTCACAAATCAAGATAAAATAGTACAACATTACACAAATTAGGTATAAGTTGACATAATTGACATAGTTGACATACTTTGACTGTTGGTAGTAGCCTCTAATTTGTGAACGGGTACACTACACAAATCACCGCCCCGACAATAAGGCCCCAGCAATATACTGTAGGCTAACACTGACCGGACATCTGAAGGGTTGAACAGGGACTCTGGGATGCCTGTCAGTGCACTCAAGTGTGCAACATCTGAAAATAAGTTACACACGTAAAACCCAAAAACATGCACGTGACAACAACGTCCCCAACATCCCATTTAAATGAGGATAAAACCCAGTAAACTAATTTACAGATCAGTTGGAGTTGGTGTTATATTTTATCTGTGATTCACACACAATATTTCACACAACTATTTCACTATTTCACAATATTTCACACAACTATTTCACTGTTTCACAATATTTCACACAACTCTTTCACTCACTCAATGTGATAGTCATGCAACTGGAAAATACACAATACACTTCGGACCTCTTTTGCTTCACCTTCTCTATGGATCACGGGTTATTTAGCGGACTAGCCACAATATCGTAACTTCTAAACTGTTTTATTATCAAGTTAAATATAAATAATTTGATGACGTCATCTTTAAATAGCAACATGGAAGCTGACTCACGTAGAATTCACACTGACTATCAGTAAAACCATGCTCACCATTCAGCTAGCACATGTGCAGAATTCAATCAATAAGAAGTTTGGTGATCTAACTTACTGGTTACATTGACAAGTAGAGTCATGAGATTATCTTCAGAAAGGGGCACACACAGGGGCTCAATAGATAATCTGCTCTCTCCTGAACTCATCTGAAACACAAGATCTTCTTCAGTTCCGTATAAATCATTGGAGTATTACAATTAAATTGATATTGTTCCGGGCTGTTCACACAAAGAAAAAGTTTTCTGACGATAATTTTAACACTGATTAACAGAATACCAATTTTAAATCAAGAAACGCCCCGATAAAGTTAAAATCGAGAGTGACAGCACACAGTAATCATGATTAGAACGAACCTTAAGGCAAGTTACAAAATCAGCCCAGTGCCAAGTAAAGCCTTTTTTACAATCGATTTTCAGTCTATCGCCGGAAGCCAGCAAATCTTCATTGAACTCTGCCAGGTCGGAATCTCGATACCTTCTGAGGAACAAAGATTTTAAAGACTATAGCAGTGAAAGCAGGATTAATGAACGAATAGTGTGACATTGGGTTCTCAACCATGGAAATTTAAAAGTCTCTACATGCTGTTCTTTCTGGCTCCATGTGCTAGTTAGGGGTCTGAGGTATCCGAAAAATTATGTTTTGAGTACCCAAAGTGTTCTGGGTGCCAGGAATGAGGTTATTAAAGCGGCGAAAATGACCGGTTTTGGACTATTTATGAGCTTTTTTGCCCATTTTCATGAGATAAAGAATCAGGAAAGCTGCTCTTGATGATTGAAATGGTTGATACCAATGAGGATACACCCAACACACATAAATATACGTGATATATGTGATTTTAATGAGAAAAATATGATCTCAGGGCCCATTTTATACCAAAATTTGCCAAAACCACTCGCACTTGTCAAAGCTTCCTCATTTTAGACACATTTAATGATTATTATGGTATCTAACTTATGGTGGATCTGATAGGAGTATGTCTTAGCTTCATTTTAAGCCATCAATGAGCATGCTGGTGTGTATGAAAGTACTTTAATCCTCCCGTCCATTGATCATATAGTATGGGCCATGCGCGCGCGCGCGCGCGCGCTTGTTACAAGTATGAATTTTCTTCCTCAGTATCTATCTAAAGCTTTTAAAGACATGATTAGAATGCTATCCTACTCAGCACATGAGTGCTACAAGATGGTGAAAGAATTTCCATGAAAAATCATTAAATGTGGAAGATATGAGGTCATATGTGTGTGCGCGCGCGCGCGCGCGCGCGCTTGTTACAAACTTGATATCCTCAGAACTTTCACATTTACTGAGATTTTGTTTCAAACTTAATTGACTCTGAACCGAAATTGCCAGAGGAAACAGATAGTGTAACTCAGAAAGACCACAAATGGATAGTTTGTGAGATATTGAGGTTATACTCCAAAAAATTTACAATGATGTCACACCAGAAAACCCCTATTTTTGGTATATTTAACCTCATATCTCGAACGCGCAGTACTGGATTGAGCTAAACTTGGTCAGGTTTTGTAGCCCTGACTATCCTCGATCATATGGAACAGGAATAAAACTGTTCAGATGTTATATCTTAATTATATTAGGCACTTAGTTCTGAAAAGTGAGAATGTCATTAATACTGCTTTCACTGATAGTAGATTACTAAAGTGGTTATTTTTTCCTTTTCACCCTTTTGAAAAAAGGCAATAGTGAAAGGTTACGAATGGACGTTTTTGCAGAAAATCGTGGATTTTGGAGATAGCGGTAGGTGGGTCAAATATATGTCGTGTTCCTTACTTACTTACTTGCTTCCGTTCGTTACCATGTCAACTTGCCGCGCGCACGCGCACGGGGATTGCTTGCGGAGATGTGGTGTATAGCTAGTCTGTGGTCAATGAATGCGCGGCACGAGCGTATTTTAATGTATACTAGTAATGTATAGTATTTTGTAATAAGCCCAACTTGAATGTGGCACGCGTAGTCTACTGATGTTTCAATATTATTATTATAAGGTGAGCTGATTAGAGCTTATATTAATAGTTATAGTGAAATGGAAATCTAGCGTCCGCCAAAACGAAACAACGGGCGCAATTCTTGTTTACAGTAGATTATTGAAACGTCCTCTTCAAATAACAGGTGTAGTTGTTTTTATGGCTGGTAAAGATAGAATGGAGCATTATGAACAAGGCAGGTAGTGAGCTGCTAATCAGTTGAAACTCTAACTCACCCGTTCTTTAGTTCAGGTAGAAAGCAGTGAGTTGCAGGATCAAAACAGATAATACTAATCCCACAATAAGGGTCTGAATAAAAGGTAAAGGCATCATCAGTAATATAAGGAGGGTAAGAAGAAGGGTATGTTAGGTTGGTCACAATTCCAAGCTTGCCCGCACATTTATCAACCTAATCGGGAAGTAAACATTAGTTAAAAGGCAGATTAAACATTTTCCATGTGGAAATGTAAATTAGGTATCTTTAAAATCTTATAATAACTGAATAGGAATATCAAACAGAAAAATAAAAGGAAATATTTTCAAATTTTACCTTTCCACACAAAGTTGCGACTTGATCTGAGTTAAGGTCATTACAAATGGGGTGGGATTCATCGGGAGAGACTTCATAAGCCAACAACGTTTGACCTGAAAATGATTGACGAATTAGATTTGTGAAACACCAAAGATATTTGAGGTCTGACACATTAAGAATCAAGAATTATTAGGACTGAAAAAATAAGGTAAATTCTTGGGTCTACCTTTTGTACAATCTTCGCTCTCGAATGTAAGAGTGTAGTTTTTAAAGACTTTGACTTCTGAGAGGGCGCAGCCGAAAAAAAGATTCAGAACCAGTAATAAGACCATAATATCTCTTTCATTATGGTCAACTAAGAAAGGTTATTATTTGGTAAGAATGAAAAATATTTTTCTTTATTCTGAAATTTATGTAATTAGAAAATCTATGTTAGTTGTAAATTCATGCATGTATCAGGTTCAATTCCACAAGAAGTGCACATCGAGGAAAACTATATTGTTCGTAAATTGCAAATAATTATTTTAATTGTATAATTGGAACTGAGATAAAAGCATATGAACAATGCACATGTAATACATAGTGTATAATATTTATGTAATACACTAGGCAAAACGTTCATTAGACAAAATCATAACCCGGATATCAATTAGGAAACGACCAAATTTCTGTCTGTGGCCAGTTTGGTTCAAGTGGTCAGCAAGAATTTTTCAAACTGTTTTGGAAATACAATATTAAAGATATTGCTAAATTTTCCCAATTTTGCAGCATGGTTAACATTATGATCGATTATGATATCATGATTCTGATAACTTAACATCACTTCTACTATCAATATATTAAATCAAATCCATCCCTATTATAGCCAAACAGTAACCATCAACCAAGTTAATGATAATTCAATGAAACCTATTGTGTTAATAAAGTTGATTTAGCATGTAATGCAATGGCAGCCAAATAATTAGATTTTTCTGGTTTGGTTCAGTTCGGTTCTGCTCAGTCAAGTCTGGTTCAGTTCGTTTTGGTTAAGTTTGTTTTTACTGGTTACGTTTGGATAAAAATCTAGGTTTAGTCGTTTCCTTATATCAATCTTTCTGATACTTAATCAAATCTGTACTTAATGTGAAACAATTATTCCTGATTGCTCAATGAAATCTTCTGAATCTTTAACTCTACAGAATACTACTATGGTTGGTAGCTTGGTCTTTTCAAATCGATCAATCATCATTTCCCTGTTCTTCTTTAGCTCTTTGGAGCACTTTATTTTGCTTCTTGTCAATGACTTCCATCTCTCGAATGTATTGTGAAATTTCTGTTTCAATCCTCACCCTATGTCTTTCAGCTTGCCCTAAACTCTCCATCTCCATCATAAAGTCACGTCTTTCTTTGATTTCTTCTTGAATTTCGGCAAAGCGGTCCACAGGACGTTTAACAACAATTGGCGCTAGTTTTGGTCTCGGCAATGGCTTGTCAGTCCCAAAAATCAATATTTTATTCAACCTTTCCTTTTCTTTTTGACTATCGTAAGTTATCGGGGGTGGTTTGTAAGGTTCACTGGTGTCTTCTGATATTTCAAGTTCAATTTTTTGAAGAGTCTTCACACCAGTCGGTTTCTTAACAACTTTGGTTTTTTTCTTTTTAACTAAGGATGGGCCATCTTTACTGTGGTGTGGATTGACACGTGTTGGCAGGGCACTCCCATCTTTCATTGATTCTTTCATAACCCTTTGCTGATAGTTAGTAAGCTTAGACTCCTTCATCATGTTTTTCAATAGATCTGCTGTTTCCTTGCTATACTGTGCCTTCTGTTGAGTCCCAAACATACCACCTTTCTGTACAGACATTTTAAACCTGAACGATTTAAACATGAGGATATTATATTATATATATTATATATATATATCAATTCAAATCAAATCAATTCAAATTGATTAATGATAACAGAAACATCATCATACATCATCAAGAATATTTCTATAAATATATTATATAATAAATATATAAATTGAACTAAAATGCCAAGTACCCAGTAAAAATGCAATTAAGTATGCTTCCACATTAATAAAACATCAATAAAACGTACTTAGAAACATGAGGATTGAACTTAAGTCTTAAGATATTCATAACATTTCTTTTTATCATTAACATAATTTATCCCTTCACTTCTTGCTAGAATACTTTTTCGAAAGATTCCAAAAACAGCAATTATTTATAAAGCAATGAAAGGCATTAGTTTGGTCAAATCAAACAGAACATGTAATGCTATCAGACTTTCAACTGACTAAGGTAGGGTTAAAACAGTATCGACGCTAGCAACAATCCCCTTTTACATAGTTCAACTAAAAATAATAATTTAAGGTTAAATATGCATAGTGATAGGTAAATAAAGTATTATGCAATCAAAATTGTAATGAAAACGGTAGAGATAAAGTATACTGAAACTAAGAAAACGTAGTCGCAACGTCATGAATCGTCATGTCAATCATATTATATATATACTAGAAAGTCCGTGGTCACAGGGAGGAAGCTTATAGTATTCTTTGGTAGTCAGTTTTTATAGCATCAACAAATATCCATCGCAACCGAAAATACAGCCAATTAAAATATAGCTAACTGAACACCACGTAATCAGTCTTATGAGTCTCAGAAATGTGTTTTTGTTGGTTACAATTCTGTCCGTCAAATTTCCTATCTGCTTGTCCTATTCATTTTTCGTTGTGACGGAATTGTAATGTACAAAATCCTTATAATTATTTATGATATGTTTGATTTATTGTTATTGTTTGTCATTCAAATTTGGTAGACGGCCTTAACGTTAATGTGGCTCTAGCTATGTGTTGGTTCAGCCGAATTAATTATTATGTTTAATCAAGTTTATTTTTCTCGTTAGTTGTCATCCGGCCAAACATTAAGCAACTTATATTGCAGTACCATTTATCAATTTGTATATCAAAATATGTCATTGTAATTTTGCATGGCTGAAATGTAACGCTTGATTTATATATATAATGATTAATTGAATTTTCAAATAAAATTAAAAAAATAACAAAAAGCCGATCAAAATGCCCCTCACAAATCCTTGCACGTGCATGCGCGCGTTTCAACACCATTACCATGGTTACCATGTAACTTCCTATTTCTCATCTAATTTGCACGTGGGTGGTCGTACATATTACAAAAATAATTCTTTGAATTATAGTAGAGATGTCAGAAATCATATCTTTCTTAAATCCTTCAAATTTAACTTTAAACTAAAAACTGTCTCAGAGTTCCTATCCCCACATTTTGGCTTGCGAACATCGTATAGAACTCCAGATATATGGGTTGAAACGAAGCAAAATCAATACATTGTATAATACAAGTTATAATACAAGTTATGAACAAAAAATGTCCGGCCTTGATACTGAATCCTTCACTGTTGGAGGAAATTGAAAAATACTGTTTTGGTGTAATAATTAAAAATTCTAGAACATTACACATTTGTTTAATGTCTCTTCTATTCAGCCGATTCAGCCGAATCATCAGAAACGTGATTTATGATTGAGACTTGGTTAACGATGTCATTCTTTTCCCAGCTCATATCATAAAGAGATCGAATAACATTTCGAAAACTAAACGGTCCTGTTTATTTCTCTCGATGAAATTAAGCGGATTGCAGTATGCAGTAGTATAGAGTGAATATAGAAATTAAAGCACGTCAATTTTAAAATTATATTGTAATTATCAAACAAGTTATTTTATTACATGTTTCAAATAAAACCTAATAAGTTTCACATCGTAATCCTCATTTCAGATAACGAGAACTATTTATATTTCGTGGCATTAGTATGGAGACTATTTCAAACATTCTAAAAGACTGTAGGTCTTATAACATGACAAATTTCAACCGGCTGTCAAAAAACATACTTAACCATAACAAGCCGTTTATATCTATTGTGTTTAACAACATTGATGGGAACGCATCTAACTTTGACAGCTTTATTACTGATATGAGTCAATATGATGAGAAATTTGCAGTTATTGCGCTAGCTGAAACAAACATTGATGAGGAAAATAAAGATTTATACAAAATTGATGGTTACAGCAGTGAGTATAACTCCAAAACTGATGGGAAAAAGAAAGGTAGTGGCCTTGGTGTATATATTGACAATAAGTACCAATACAGCCGAATCGAAAAGTTATGTAAATGCTCTGACAATCTTGAAACACTTTTCGTTGAGATCACTAACACAGAGGTTCCACAGATTGCTGGTGTTGTCTACAGGCCCCCTAGTGGTGATATTCTAGATGCACTTGCTGAGCTTGACGTGTTGATGAAATTCCTACCGTCTAATAATGTAGCCTTGACAGGTGACTTCAATGTTGATCTTTTGGCCCAGGGACGAAACATAGCTGAATTTGAACAAACTATCTACAGTAACAATTTAATCCCTTTGATATCGATTGCCACCCATGCCAAGCCGGGTTGCAACGAAAGCTTAATTGATAATATTTTAGTGAACTCTACTGAGCGTGTCTTAGGATCTGGAATTCTTGAATCCAAGATTTCCCATCATAACCCAATCTTCTGTTTCATATCGTGTAATACTAAAGAGAGTCCAAATGATACCAAACTTAAACCTAAGTATGATTACTGTGAGTCTAATATAGAAAGCTTCCTTAATGATATTGGAAGGGATATCTACCGATCGAACTTTTCGTATGATGAGGAAGGTTTTGAAAAATTTGTCGAAACTGTCCATGAAAAAATCGAACTGAATTTCAAATTGGACTCTACTGCTGGTTTTCAATCAAAACGCAATAGATTGATGAATCCATGGATCACTTCTGCGTTAATTAAATCTGTGTTTACTAAAGGCTTTCACTACAAGCGATGGAAGGCTTCGTGTACCAAAATCAACCCATTAGGTGAGGAAACTTTATATCTTAAGTATAAGGAGTATCGTTCTATCCTAAACAAAGCTATAAAATCTGCGAAAAAAGCCCACTATGGAAAAAAATTTGAACTTGCTAAAGGAAATATTAAAAAACCTGGGAATTGATTAACGAACTCAGGGGTAAATCTAAAAAAGATATAAAAGCATCATTCTTAATTGATGGTCGAATTGTAACTGAACGCCGTGAGATTGCTAACGGATTTAACATCTACTTCTCGTCTATTGCTCGTAATCTTAATTCAAAAGTTCAATCTTCTGTACCATCTCGTACGGTAACTGATGGCAATTTTATTAAGACGAAGTTTAAACAATACCTCAAGGGCAGAGAAAGAATAGTGAACTCTTTTTTTCTCAGCCCCTGTGACGAGGAAGAGATAAGTAAAATCATTGGTAGCCTTGAAAATGGGAAGGCAAGTGATATCTCTGTTAAAGTCTTAAAAAAGAGTGTAAATTATCTGTCTGGTCATATCTCTAGATTCTTTAATTGGTTCTTGGACAATGGGGTCTTTCCAAACAAGCTTAAAACGGGCTCTATTACACCAATTTATAAAAAGGAGACTCACGATGCCTTGATAACTATCGTCCTGTTTCTACATTACCGTTATTTGGAAAAATACTTGAAAAAATAATCTATAATAGGTTATATAATTACCTCAGTGCTATGAACGTGATTTATGATCGACAATTTGGTTTTAGAAAACAACACTCAACATCTCATGCCGTAAACTATTCTGTCAATAAAATACTTAATGAGATTGAACAGAAAAATCATGTAATTGGAATATTTATTGATCTAAGTAAAGCATTTGACACAATTGAGCACGATAAACTCCTGCATAAACTTGAACACTATGGAGTAAGAGGTATTGCACTAAAAACTCTTGCTAGCTATCTAACAAACCGTAGCCAAGTAACTTCTTTTCAAACTGAAAAGTCGGACAAGTGTTCAGTTGAGTATGGTGTACCCCAGGGGTCAGTGTTAGGACCTCTACTATTTCTGATTTATATAAATGATATTGTGAGCTCCTCAAGCTTGGCTGAATTCGTCCTGTTTGCTGATGATACAAATATTTTTGTGATAGGTAGTTCAGCACAGGAAGCTTTTGAAAAAGCTAATCATGTAATGAAACAAGTCAGTAACTATATGGAGTCTAACAAGTTACATATAAATGCAGGGAAAAGTTGTTATATGCATTTTCAGCCAGGTTTGTCAAGAGCAACACAGACCTGTGCCAGAACACGGCCCTTTAACAGGAATCTAACGATTTTAATAGATGGCAAAAAGCTAGAAAAAGTTCAATGTACAAAGTTTCTTGGGGTGATAATAGACGAACAGCTAAGCTGGGAACCACATCTTAATCATTTATCTTTAAAGCTGAACTCCAGTATTGTATCGATTAAGAGAATTTGCAAATTCATTCCCAAATCTGAATATTTGAAACTATACAATGCTCTTTTTATGTCACATCTTAGCTATTGTATAAGTTGCTGGGGTGGGATCCCTAAACATAAGCTGAATAAAATCTTTGCAATTCAAAAACGATGTATAAGACTGCTATTTGGTAACATTCCCAATTTTGATCATAAAGAATACTATTTAACCTGTGCACGTTCAAGAACTTATAACGAACATATGGCTAGCAAGAACTACTGTCTTGAACACACTAAACCGCTATTCACCGAGCAGAAAATTATGAACCTGGAGAATCTGCACATGTACCATACATTTATGGAATTATTCAAAATTCTTAAATTTGATGTCCCCCAGTCGATTAAAGATCTTTTCAAGTTCTGTCCTAGAAATGAAAAACTTCGTCTGATTGTCCCATTACTGAGGTTAGATATCTCCCAACAGAACTTTTTGTACACCTCTACGAAAATTTGGAATGACCTCAGCCCCTATGTATTCGAAATATGTGATGCTAATGTAGATGGGTTGATAATCCCGGGTTCTTCCAAGAATTCAGACTTATCAGCTTCGTCAGGTGTTATTAAATCTAACCTTAAAAAGCACTTGCTATCCCTCCAAAATCGAGATGACCCTAATACATGGTAACTAATCTATATTATATCTCAAACTCTACATCCGGTACGGCTATGCACACATGATATCTCTCTCTGCCATGAAACATGGCTAACCTTTTAAACTGTGATTCAAAACCTAAAGCTAAACTAAAACTCAACTGGGCTCTCCTTTGTCACCAAACTAAACCAATAAGTAATTTAAGATTATTATATTTTTCTATATTTGTATACTGTAATTAGTATATCATATATTGACGTAGTGGATGGTTGAGGGGGTTTCAAGCACAGGTCACTCTCAAATCCTAAAGATAAGCAGTGGCCTTCGGCACTTGAAACATCTTCAAACCTCCCCTGATTTATTTATTATTGATATTGTTTGATTGTGCCGTAAAAATAAATATTTGTTTTATTAAATATTTGTTTTATTAAATATTTGTTTTATTATATTTGGCGCTAAATGTTAAATCTCAGCCACGCATGCACAATTTGAAGGTTTATAACCTACCAGGACGCGCGCCAAGTTGGACTCGTCGACGGTCCTAATAATTGGAACAAATATTTTACGAGCATCACCCGTTCAATGCACAATTACAACTTGTACGCGGCACGGCATGAACCACAGTGTGAAGCAAAATGCTTTATAATTGTGCCATGCTATATTTAGTTTTCTGTGGAGATATTGTAGTACGCGCCACATTTATATTTCATTATATTTGATATCATTGTTTGCACTATTCGTATTGTTTTTACATACAATATTATGTAATCTTAATATATAAAAAATTTACATTTTATGATATAATTTTGGGTTAAAAAGATTTAAGCTAAAAAATATAACACGTTTTTTATTTTAAATGCAAAATATGCACGTAAAACGCATTTATATTGCATTTAAACTTGTACATCGTTAATAGACTGATTTGCAGGTGCGTGTTACTTTTATGTTTTAACTTTGAACTTCGAACTTCGAAGCTTCATTCTTCAATCATAATTTATATAATTATATAATATTTCGAGGAGAAAGCGGCGCGCGCTACTTTGAAGAAAGTTTGAATTTAGACGAGTACTATTCGTCAGATTTAAAACTAATAAAGCAATAAATACTTAAAAATATTTTTCGTTTATCATAGCGCCGCGCATTATTATTAATCACTATTTGCTAAATTATGGTATTTTAATTACATTGCATCAAGTGCAAAATGTTTGTTGTAAATTTCCAGATTAGAAACAATTTATTTTTATACGTTTGAAATAAGAAGTATTATATTAAATTGAATTGAACCGTTACACAACAAACATGAACGAGTATATTTAATAAAATGCGTGGTGCCGCGCATCTTTGAAAATTGTTTTAGAATCGGGCGCTACCAAAATTTAAAGAAGCCTTCTATTTCCTTTATCCACATGAATTTTATCTACATTACAGCAAAATTAATATATCCTGGCATCTCGAGGGGAAAAGCATGGTATAGAAAAGAGAGGTTCGCATGATACCATTGCCCAGTTTTGTAGCCTCTTGAATTACCTGTCAAGCGTCTCATTAACCCCAAGACCTCTTATGCATATATTGTGTCTTATTGCAATGGAATATATCTCGATGTGTACTCAAACTATCACCAAATGCGATATGATTAATGAAAAATCAATTTTCTTGCAAAATACATGCTAATTGACTTTAAGTTGGGGGGGGGGGGGGGGGGGGTGTTAAAGTAAAGTAAAGTAAAGTGTTGGGGAAGAGTAAAGTAAAGTAAAGTGTTGGGGAAGAGGCTCAACGAAATCTCCAAGCTGAGAAAGGGGGCAAGTGCTTTGTTAACAGCACTACCATTAAAAGAGTATGGATATCTGATGAATAAACAACAGTTCTCAGACGTTATAGCTCTTAGATATATCCTGAATTTAAAGGATTGCCCTAAGACATGTACGTTTGGCCAGAAATGCTCAGCAAACCATGCGCTCATCTGCATTCTGCAACCTCGGTGGATGTGTGTCACTGCGGCATAACTCGTTAAGACACCTTTGCAGAACTAATGAGAACTGTGAAATGTAAGGATGTGCAGCAGAGAGAGCCAGTTCTTCTTCCAGTTTATGATATATAGAGTTACCAGAGGGAACAGTTCTTGGGGACCCAGCTAGGCAGGACATTTATGCAAGATCGATTTGGAAAGCTTCAGAGAGGGCTTTTGATTTAAGGGTGTTCAATGCCTCAACCCCCTCCTGTTAACTTTAAATGGATCACTATGCAATGAAACACACCAGTTGTTACAAGTAATTATCAAACCCCACAGACAACATGTTTGTGGTACATTCTGAAATAGAACACAATTAGTATATATTATATCGACTATCATAAATATATAAACCAAATATATAGCAATTCACAATCTCCCGTTCTTTCTTAAAAAGGCTTTGAAAGATTTAAAATATTAAATATAAAATAAAGGTGTCACAAGAAAGACTATAATCTTTCTAAATATAACTTCCCTCTTTGTGGATACATGCACAACATGTAATAGAAAATCGTTTTAAACGAGCACATTATATAAATCACAAATACCAATATATTCACTCTTTTAAACGAGCACATTATATAAATCACAAATACCAATATATTCACTCTTTTAACTTCTTTAAGTTTCAAATTATTAAGATTATTAAAATCCTTCACGCACAATATTAAAAACTTTGAATACAATGTTTATTATTGGAATACAATTCTAAACAGTTCATTGTCAAATTCTCCTGACGACAATACCTCCCGTAGCAGTGAAGTTGGAGCTCCAGCTTTAGTCAAACAATCTGCAAGCTGTTTCTTTGTTGAAATCCAACGAACTGTCATTTCACTATTGTTCACTCGCTGTCTCAGGCAAGCTATTGGTATCCTCAATCCCTTGTCATCAACATTTTTCGAGGTTTGGATAGCATCATGTAGAGACTTGCAATCAGTCATTACAATGACATCAAGTTTTCCAGATAACATGATCTCACTCAGCTGAGCTTGGATCAACTCACATGTTTCCACTGCTTCGATCATTGCCCAACTCTCCGCTGCTAAAGTACTTTTACATACTCTCCGGATTTTTCTACTCTGCCATGTAATGGGGCAAGATTTTCCTGTAAGCGAAACAAGGAAAATTATGAAGCCTCCCTGAGAGCTACCATCCTTCAAGTTTCCATACGATGCATCACAGAAAACCACTAAGACTGACTCAGGCAACAGTAGTTTCTTAAACCTGAGTGTTAGAGGATTCTTTTCTAAGAACTTTACTGTTTTGTTTACCATTTTCAAATCTGCGATGGTCCCTTCAGTCACAGAATTACTAGCAAAACATGTAGCATAAGCTACATCTGGCCGTGTCTGTGTTGATACCCACAACAACTGTCCGCACACAGTTCTCAGTTGTTGCTTTTCTTTCTCGTTGATTGGGAGCGTATTTCGATTCACTCGGGTGGGGTCGATCTCTATTCTTGAAATCTGGTCTGCATACCCCAGTTGTGATACCAGAATTCCAGATTGTGTTTGCTTTACATCAAGACCAGTATAAGCAAATTCAACTTCGACCTCCGTACTTAGACGAAACTTCTTCTTCAGTTCCCCAATAACTTCCCTTTCAAACTTCTTGCTTCCACTGAACATCAGATCGTCAACATGCACAGCAATGATACCCTCGAGTTTTCCTTCATCATACCAGAACATGAATGACTCATCATATGACGATACCACAACATTTAACTTCACTAGAGTATCACGAAGCTCAACATACCACATTCTAGGTCCGTCTACTAACCCGTAAATACATTTGTTCAGTTTCCAGATTTTCCTCGTTTCAGCTTCCTTCGGAGGAATAATGAAGACATCTCTTGAAATCTTCTTGCCTTGCAAGAAGGCAGCCTGAACATCGATGTGTTGTAACTTCCAACTTTCTGTTGCAACTATTGTAAGGAGCAGTCTTATAGAGTCCCTGTTACATGTTGGGGAGTCCTTTCGTATGTTGCTACTATTTTCTTGATAACCAAGTGCCACTAAACGAGCTTTAACAGAACCTTCTGCTTTCTTTGTAATTACCCAACGAACACCAACATTGGACTGTTCGTTTGCATCAACTTCCACGTAAACCTTGTTTACTTTGAACTTCTCAAGCTCTGCTAGCTTGGCATCTACAACTGCTTGGTCATACATACTCACACTGGACAGCAACACCTCTTCTTCTGTTTCTGGTGACAGGTCATCTCTCCAATTCACAGCAAGCTCATACCAATCCACACATTGGATGCTCTCCTCACCATCAAGTTGAATATTTACACAGTTTTTGTAACTGCCAGTTGATTTTCCCGCACGGCTATTGATATAAGCTTTATGCCAGATCTCACCATCCTCCTCTGGATACTTTGGAAGAAACTCCACGTGACTTCTTGCTTTAGGAAGTCCTGATTTGTGCTGAGGTCTGATTGTTGCTGTTGTCTCACTTTGAGGCAGTGTTTCTGTTTCCGGTACAGAAACTGCTGTTTCCATAGAGCAAGATGGTTGATCCTCTAAGAAATTTCTCTGCGTCTCTAATGGGGATTTTGGTGAACTTGATACAATACTCGGGTTAGGTTGCCCAACAACTGACTCTGAGGTAATGGGATATCCTGTTGTTGTATCCCTGGTTAGATGACATGCACTGCACTTATAATACTGATTTCCATGCTTTAAAATATATAAATGAGTAATGTCTCTCCCCAGTATAACACCTGGCCCACTCCATTTTGCAGATCCTTTTCTCTTGTACATCACCTTTTCACCGTTGCTATAATACTCATCATTGCTTGTCCGAACTTGGCTTTGCAGAGCTCTACGTATCTTCTTGCTACTTTCACACTTTGCAAATGCTTGCCTTGCACTGTGCATTGCATTAACATTATCAGCCACGGTTTTACTCACCGTTGTTTCTTCTAAAGCTGGCAGTCTATCATCGATGACATTCGGAAGTGAAGGGTTACGGCCCATTGTCAACTGATTTGCAGAAAACCCACCAAACATCTGCATGGAGTTTTTCGCACTTAGTGCCCAACACAATGCAACTTCCCAGTTGCATTTTGAATCTTCCTTCGTTTTTACCATCATCTCTGTCAGCATCTTATGATGACGTTCTACAAAGCTACAATCCCATTGCTCCAAGGGCTCTCGGCAGCTGAATTTTGCACATCCACATTGAATCTTTGACACATCTCAGTAAACTCCTCATTGGCGAACTCTCCACCATTATCAGCCATGAATTTCTTTGGATTTCCAAAGATGGATATCCATCCAGAGCAAATTCCTTGGATGATTGTCTCTTTCTTCTTATTGTAGATTATTCTAGCTGCTGAATATCTTGTCACCGAATCAATCATATGCAAGATATACACATTAGGAGTGCCAGGAACATTCTTAAGGTCCATTGCAACACATTCGTTGAACACCTTTCCTCTTTGGAGACCCACCACTGGTCTTGACTTGGGTTTCTTGTACATCAGACATATTTTACAACTGCTGGATACCTCATCAATTGCTTTCATGTATTCTGGTCTCTTAAATCCTGCAGTTTTCAGCAATGTTTTCAGTTTATCACTAGGAGGGTGTGAGAATTGTTTGTGGATTTTTTCCACTTTCCTCCTAATCTCCTTTTCGTCAGTACCAAACAAACCTTCTTCGCTGATTGTCATCACCAGATGTGGGGTCTTTCGATCTGGCCACTTCCTGCTACCACTTGTTAACTTTAAATGGATCACTATGCAATGAAACACACCAGTTGTTACAAGTAATTATCAAACCCCACAGACAACATGTTTGTGGTACATTCTGAAATAGAACACAATTAGTATATATTATATCGACTATCATAAATATATAAACCAAATATATAGCAATTCACACCTCCTACGCAAGCAAATCGATCCCAGCAATGTACCAGTCCCATTAAAATGATAAAAAACGGTGTTACAATGAAAGGGTTCTAGAAGTGGAGAAAGGAAGCTTCACACCAGTGGCGTAATGTTGCCTGTTGCCCCCCCCCCCCCCCCCCCCTGAAAAAGCGCCAAGGGTGAATTTGAAATGTTACTGCCAATATTTTAGTTGGAATACTTGTTTGAATACTTGTTTATTACAACAACAAAATAAATGGGGAAGAGGGATGGTATATTGAGGTAACGTACGGTAAGTGGTATTTTTGATAAGATTTTCAAACAATATTATATATGCATTCAATTAAATTAAGTGATGCAATTGGCAGAGCACAATACACAGACAACGGAAATTGTCCACTGCTACCAATAAAAAAAATGTGGCCTTATTCTGACTCTCAAGCATTACACAAACATAACAGAATCATGATAAATTGCATGAAACATCTCCTATGTACTCCACACACAGCTATATTAAGATTTTTTCTCCACCTGCTATGGCTTTTGAGTGAGGCACGTTTGAAAATGTAAAGTAAATTACAGGGCACAAATTGACATTCCTGACCAACGTGTATTGAAATCTCATTTCGTGCCCAGGTGTGAGAGTAAACATTTAAATATTTTTCATGCACACTGGCAAATGTCTTGCCTGTACTGGAAAGGGTTTGTTTTGGTAAATGGTTAATAGCTGTGTTCTGTAGAAGCCTTTGTTCCTTGTAAAGTAAGTTGTAACTCTTTTGTGTCAAGTAGTTTACACTGTTACACAATCCTTTGATTTTAACTGTTTAAAGCTGCCCCTTTGTCTTTAACTCGTTTGCTAAGTGTATGAACTATGTAATATATGATTAATAATGATATATCAGTTTATCATTAGCCAATTAAGGGGGCCGGGGGGGCCTTCATCAAAATTTTCTCGAAATTGACTTTATAGTTGTTTCTAATAGAGGGGAGTGATATCTATCAGATGCTTTTGGTCCCATGGAAAAATATTGTTCCTAGACGAAATTATTATCGGTCAAATGTCAGCGCTTATGTGTAATTGTATTGCGCGAGCGATTTTCAATTTTTGAAAATCTTGGACCTCAAAAAATCGTCAAAAAACGAGGTCCAAGATTTTCAAAATCGAATAAAATATGTTTAAAGGCCTATCTCAAAATTCTGTCTGGCTCATCTCTTTTAAATTATCTCTAGAACATATCCTGAAAGTTTCAGGGTGATTGCTAAAAACATGTAGGAGAAAATAGATTTTTAGACTCGATTTTCAGGACAGGGGTTGAAAATCGCTCGCGCAATACAACTACACATAAGTGCTGACCTTTGACCGACAATAATTTCGGCTAGGAATAATATTTTTCCATGGGACCAAAAGCATCTGATAGATATCACTCCCTTCTATCAGAAACAACTAAAAAGTCAATTTCGAGGGAATTTTGATGAAGACCCCCCGGCCCCCTTAATTGGTTGATTGATCCACTGATTGGGTCCACAGTTAGCCCAGTTATACAGAGTAGGTAGGTGGGCGTAAATGTACGAATGTTTCCCAGCTCAAAATTTGTGTTCAAGCAGGCCACTGGATTTTCTGTAAAGTAAAGTATTATTTTCGAAAAGTCAATTTTTAACCATTTTTAACCATTTTTATAGATTTCTTTAATGAAATTCCGACCAGAACCAATCTATTATCACTTTTAAATAACTTTTATTCTGTTTGACAATCGTTACTTGTTGTGTTTTACTACTATTACTGAATAAAAAGCATATGTGTAAATTACTTGACACGTAAATTACTTGACATGTAACTTACTTGACGCTGGTATTGACATGATCTGATATCTATGGATCTAAATAAACAAGTACATTATGTCTTGACATCAGAGTTAGCTTGTTTTAGCAAGATTTCAGCAAGAAATAACATGAAATGTGGCCAGCAGAAAACTTTTTTGTTATTTATGTATAGTAATTTACACTAAAAACAGGAGAAAGTAGAATAGCATTGCTCCGAATCTGCTTAAATTTTGAGTCCCAAATTTTGCATACAGCTTCAGTGAAGTGGTATGCACCTTTACAGATCAAGAATTAATGAATATTACAACAATCTCTTTTTAGTAAACAGCTTTTATTATAGAGTAGTTTTAGCCTGTAAAACATGACAATTTATGGGTATTTTGAAAACGCGATAACACAAAAACGAAGTGAGATATTTATAAGCGGTTTTTTGTGTCTAACAGTTTATAATCTTCTCTTTCAGACTCCAATCAAAGCTAGTGCCATAACTGAAATTTATTTTTTTCCCTCCTTGTTCATGTTTCATGAAATTGCCCATATACACATCTACTCCATCATAGGGGCAGGGATGAGTATAAGTAAAGTAAAGTAAAAATTATGACATAACATCATCACTAATGTCTACAAAGTATCATCACACTACATGGAAAAATAATTATTTCTCCATCAAATTTAAAAGTAATAATTTATCAAATATTAATCATGAATAAAAACAACATTAAAAAATTTAATTTATTATATTTTATTTAATATATTGAGGTTGTAAAAGACTTATATTTTTGGTCCATTTTCTTGCCTCTGTAACCACGTAGAGCATTGAGCGTTGTTCTTAACATTTCAAATCTTATTCTTGTCCTTACCACGTCGCAATATCTCTCTTTCTTTTTCATGGCTATGAGGTTCAGGTCATTTGTCTTAGCCTCAGCGTTACCAAATAGAACATGATTTTTCCTTCTCTTGTCTCCCTTGCTTACCTTTTCGATAGTATTAGCAATATTTCGACTTTTGAAGAGTAGCATTTCTGTAATATTGTTTCACAAACAAGACTTTAATTCAGTCTCGAAGATTTTCCGAACACTGCTTGACACCGCATGTCTTTCCTCTATAAGCTTATCCTGCAATTGAACTATTCTATCTGATTATTATAGATCTTTTCATTTTGAAAATCGGAAAAGTTTTTTTTCTCAGCCGAACAAAATTCCAGTTTAACAAAACTTCAGTCAAACAAAATTTCAATTTTATGCCATTTATTACAATGAAAGCCTTATGCGTACTTACAGCAGCTTTGCAACATTAATACTAATCAGATGAAGCTGCCTGCTCTAATCATCAGTTCTCCTGACCATATATAATACAGTACATGATGTACCAGTTTTGATTATATTACAGGGATCAATAGAAATTTACCCAAGAAAACATTTCAACTACGCGATTCATAAATAATATTCCATTCGGGATTTTACATGAATTATCATAATAAGATTATCTAATAATTGATTAAGTTATTTATTCTGATAATTTAATTTTTCCATCAAAGGTTGTTTTCAAAACTATGTAATCTAATTTACTTTTCCCTTAGACATGGCAAAGGTTGTCTTCAAAACTATGGAGTGGAAAGAATCTGTTGTACTCTTCCTCAAAGTCCTAAAAGTGGTGTCCCCAGTGTCTGGTGTTGGAATGATATCCACACTTTTCCTTTTCCTGTCTGTGGTGTACTATGCTTTTCTTGTACCCTACCAATGGAGAACATACTGCTTCCCAATATTTTTCCTGAATATTGGCCTGTCCCACTGGATTTTGATTAACACTCTCTACAATTATGTTCTGTCAATCATCATACACCCAGGGAGATCAAAAGGAGTTGGTCCATCTAAATGCAGAACCTGTAGAACAAATAGACCTGAACGCTCTCATCATTGCAGGCAATGCGGATTTTGTGTTCTAATGATGGACCACCACTGCATGTGGATCAATAACTGTATTGGCTATTACAACTATGGATATTTTATGAGAACCTGTGCTTTTGTTCTTGTTGGTGCTGTTTATGGAACAATGACAATGTGGCCAGAAGTGGTGGCATATTCAAATGGAGATTCTGTGATGTTTGCGTTTGATGATCTGCCAAATATCTGCTTAGGAGCATGGTGCCTGTCCTTTGCTGTCACCATTGGGTTTACCATTTTGAATCTGTGGTATATCTCGCTGATCATGTCTGGTATGACTAGCATAGAGTACAAGCAGCTGAAAGCATGGAAAGGAGCTGTTTCCCCTTACGACAGAGGGTCTAAAGCTAATTTGGCATATGCATATGGAGTAAAAAGTGGAAAATGGAGTCGACTTTTGTGGCCATGCTATTATGTTCCGTATAATTATTGGACTGAGGTGAATCTTGAAAATATAGAGACTGAATAATGCCAATAAAAAGATTCTTGACTGTTCATAAAATGTGAAAAACAATTTAATCGTTTTATGTTTGTTCAGTTGCTGGTTTCATTATTCAAAGATGCTATATAATATGTTACATTATGTATGCTGTGATATCCCTTATCTTTTATTAGATAAGTTTAATAAAATGTTGTTGTTTAAACTTTTAGAGTACGGAAAATAATAGCTAGCAGGAGGCACTTTTTGCATAAATTACTATAGACAATATCTCTGGGAGTATGTGCATTGTGCACTTTATATCTTGAACAGTAAGATTCAGGTTTTAAGTATACGATCTATAATATTACTTGACTAGTTGAATGATGAGATGATTGATCATACAACATTTTTTGAATCAGTGTTTGGGAATTTAACCATTAATTATAATGTTTAAACTTGTTTATGACCTGCTTATTTTCTTGGTTTTCTATGTTCAAATCTGTATATTTTGCTTAAAGAATTTGTTCTTATTTCTAGCCATCCTTAAAATTATGATTGGGTTATTCTTTTACAGTGATATTTGAATTTTTGAGTTGGCAATGTGTATAAGATCCAAAAAGGTACAATATCTACTTTAAAAAGTATGGTTGTGAGTACTACAAACATTGTAACTCATTATTTATATTTGTCAATATTATAATTTGTGTTGGTTGATAAAATATTCCGATATATTTATTCTCGTTTCTCTGATGCATGCCTTGTTGAACTAGGAGACAGCAAAAATTTCCGTTTTCATTAGATTATCTTTGATTTGGCTGGGGTAGGTAGTTATTTAACAGAATTTAACCATGTTCTTGATGAATTAGAACTAAGAATGATGTTGTAGTTGTCAAAGACTAGAATGGAAAATTTAGATATAAGTAAAATTTGGAGATCGATAGTACGTATAATTTATACACAATCTAGTAATTGCTGATATTTGTGATATGAAACAAGATAAAACAAACTTTATTATTATGTTTCAGGCTCTATGAAATGGATTTCTTTGACCTCACAACGCAGCAAGGACCTGCAGAAAAGGTTCAAATATTCGGGAGAAGGACCGTAGACCATTATGAATCTATGTATAATCCAAAGCCTACTCCTTCTTTTACTTCTATCCCCAATTCCACCCTCACAAGAAGAGATGATATATTTCTCAAGCCGATGAGGGAATACATTGAAATGCCAGAGCAGCAAGACACTACTGGTTTGCGACCATACTTTCAGAGAGAATTTGAGCCACCGAATCTGCCGATACGTCAGTACAGGGAGGAGATAGTTGACACTATAAAGAGTAACATGGTAACTATCATAACAGCTCCTACAGGTAGTGGTAAGAGTACCCAGGTCCCTCAGTATATTTTAGACGATGAATATCGAGTGGAAGGAAGGCATTGTAAAATAGTAGTGACCCAGCCCAGAAGAGTGGCTGCGATATCACTAGCTAATCGTGTACTAAGTGAACGAAATCTGGATCCTTTGGGTAATGACAAGGAGCAAGGAACACTGGTTGGTTACCAGATTGGGATGGACAAGAAAGTCAATGAAGATACACGACTAATGTATATGACAACAGGTGTTTTACTCCGGAAACTGTTAAATGCTGAGACTATCAAAGAGTTCACGCACATCATTCTTGATGAAGTTCACGAGAGAGATAAGGACACCGACTTTCTTTTATTACTTATCAAGCGAAGGTTGTGTCTGCACGGTCTTTACTGTGTTAGAGTTGTTGTTATGTCAGCAACTGTTGATGCTAAAAAGTTTGCCAAATACTTTCAAACCATGGATCCAGCGTATCAAGTACCATGTCCAGCTCCTATAATACCGATCAAGGAACAAATGTTTAGTGTTACCGTCTTTTACCTTGATGAAATTAGAACTAGTTTAGGCATGGCTGATGACACTGATGATGGATCCGATGGGTATAGTGAACCAGGCTCTATTCATGACAAGGTTTATAAGCTAGCGAAAGAGTTGATAAAGTACTTTGATGAAATTGATCAGCAGGAAATTGGAGATGAAGGCAATGTAACCGATAGGGGTTCAGTCCTAGTGTTTCTTCCGGGTATTTTTGAGATAGAGAGCATGCAGCAAGCCTTAAAAAGTGACAGTTGTAGTGAAAGTTATGATATAATCTGCTTGCACAGTACAATTCCCAGGCAATATCAGATGAAAGTGTTTGAATCACCACAGCCAGGAAGAAGGAAAGTGATTTTGTCAACAAACATTGCTGAGAGTTCGATCACAGTTCCAGATATCAAATACGTAATCGATTTCTGTTTGTCCAAAGAGTTGCACGCAGATTCTGGAACTGGCATGTCATCCTTAAAGTATGTCTGGGCTCCTAAGTCTTCTCTTGATCAGAGGAAGGGAAGGGCAGGGAGGGTATCCCGTGGTAGATGTTACCGCCTTATCTACAGGAACTTTCTCAAAGAACTCAACGATTTCACCACTCCAGAGATGCAACGATGCTCTGTAGAACAACTGATTCTTTGGTGTAAAATTCTCAACATTGGGGAGCCTGAAGAGATGCTTTCATATGCTTTAGATCCTCCTGATTTGAATAAGTTAAGGGAAGGTGCTCTTCTGCTGCTAGAAGTTGGAGCCCTTGTTTTACCCAAAGGATGTATTGACAATCCTTTGAAACAAAACCTCACCTTTCTTGGACATGTCATGGGTGCCATGCCACTTGATGTTCGATTGTCTCGTCTTATAATGTTTGGACTTGTTTTTGATTGCCTGGGAGAAGCTGTTATTATGGCAGCATGCTTATCTTTACCAGCCTTTCTTGAAATTCCTTATAACATCAAAGAGCAGAAGCTGAAAAGTTATGTTTCACGAATGAAAAAAGCCAAAGGAACTTTCAGTGACCCAATTATGATGCTCAATGTATTCAACGATTGGTATAATCTTTATAGTGAAGATAACAAGAGCAAAGCTCGTGATTATTGTAGAGTAAATTTCCTCAACTACAACAGAATCTCAGAAGTCGCCAGTTTGGTCCAAGATCTGTACAGCTGTTTACGGCAGATGAATGTTCCAGATCATTTAACAAAAGAGCGGCAACCCACCTATACAGGCCAACAAACCCATTATGAGGTTATCTTTCGACTCAAACTTACCCTAGCTGCTGCTAATTATCCCTATTACTTCATCCAGAACAAGTCTTTCTTAGACAAAGAAAACTGTATGAGAACTTTCGGAGCAAAGTCTCCCTCAGATACTGTGATGTATACAGGAATGCGACTAAATGTTCAGTCTAACTCGGAACTGGAGCGGAAGCACAGACAAGAGATTAGCTCATTTTTCAAGGATGTCTTTGATCCGGTGAAACGGTTATCACTCGAAAGCAACCGTCTTTATGTTACTTTTGACATGGTATCAGAGTCTATAGTTTGTAAATCTGTATACTATGCATTGAAGACAAAGCAGATTGGACTCTCCCTGAAATTAGAATCTAAAAGAGAATCGAATTTGCCAGTTGCATCTGTGAAATCCTTTCCACTTCCGGAGAACGATCAAAGAGTCAAGGTAACCGTAACTTACATTGAAAGCCCAACAAAGTTTTACGTTCAAATTCGTAATCCATCGATCAGGAAGAACTTCGATGAATTACATGAGCAACTTCAGATGGTACAACCAGTGAAGGTGAGACCTCTAGACATAAGAGAAAACATGTGGGGCTTAGCAACTTTTGAAAAGAATGATAAAACTCTATATAGAGTTAAAGCTCTCAAAGTTGATCCGAATTTTAATGTTAAAGTGTATTATCTTGATTTTGGAAATTCATTGTGGATAAATGCCAACGTATTCTTCAAAATACCTCACAACTTCTTGATGACAGGCTGTCCGTTTCAAGCTGTAGAATGTTCTATTGAAGGTATTTGTCCCGTTGTGGATTCCAGAAGCTTATCTTCAGCAGAAACATGGGACAGAAAATTTGTTGACCATATTCGGCCGATTCTAGAGAACAAGCACTTTGATGCAAAAGTTTTCTACCTTCTTGATAATGTACTACATTTAGATCTTTTTGAAGGAGACGTCAGTCTAAAAAGATGGCTGGTTGAAAATGAATTTTTACCAGTGACTGTTGCTACTGCAGATTATCGAACAGAATATGCTAGGATGATGTTGGGAGGCAACGAGGTCAGATTAGAATCCATTGAGGCTAGCGATGAAAGAAAAGAAGATGAGCTCCATTTTAAACCTGAGAAATGCGTCCTCTCGGGTCCCACAAGCCCGTATGAAGTCGAATACTGTGGACTTAACAATACGGCTAGATCATACCGCACCATCGTCGATCCCAATTCTGTCTGTTCCGTCACGATATGTACGAACCCCAGCGATGACTTTACCGAAATGTTAACAGCAAGTACAGTGGCACTGAGTGGCTCAGGATGTAGGGTACAGCTAAGAGGAGTTACCCAACATCTTCCTATTAGAGGCTTTCCTGATCTGATGGTTCTTCTATTTTCTCCCAAAGTACAGTTTCACACAACTCCTAGCAGGCTTAATTATGTGGGGTGTATCGCTGGATTGGGCATTGACACAAACGGTGATCCTCTGTGGCCCGATCATGATCTACAGGTGACTTTTGATCATCGGATCCTTAGCTCTGATATCGATCGGATTAACAAAATTCGATTAGCCATCTCAAATATATTGACTAAGGACGAGGATGACCCTTCAAAACTCAAATACATCGAAAGCCACATAAAGAGATCTCAAATGAAAGTTAAAGAGCTTGTTGGCCAGCTTAGAAAAGATTTTGAAGGCAGACAGAGATCCATACCTCCTTTCGAAAACATCGTATACTCTTGGCGTCCTGACAACTTCACTTGTAACTCCCTAGAGTTATTCCCTGAAACTTACCCTGGAGAGGATGAGGATGTAGTGCGGCCTCACAGCACTCTTTACTTCACGGATACATCTGGGTCTGACCTTCAGATTGAACCAAATGATGACAGAAACCCAGGTTTATATGAGAAAATGGAAGAAACGTGTCAGTAAACTTCAGCGGTACACTTACAAGTTGAATGAGACCACTAGCGTGAACACTGGTAAGTACCTGGAATGTAGACTGTGTAAACTTACGTTTGATCGGCCACGTGAGCTGGCAGCTCATCTAGAAACTGATGCTCATCTTACAGAGATCCGGAGGCTTGATTATTGGTCCAATTCTAGGTGATCAATGTAATTATTTGAGGAGTTAATAAGAATATGTTCTCTTGTTTTACTTTTTATATACTTCAGGGTTGTTAAACATGTTGGTTCTTTCTTCGAAGTTTCTGTTTTATTATGCTGTATTTATATTTAGCTAAATGTTTTTTAATTTAATTGATTCGAAAGCTGTTAGATTTGGGTGATTTATAAAGCTGTACGTTGATGCATGACATTTTATTTTTCAAAAGAGATGTGCCAGTCTCAAAATGATTTAATATTTTAAAATTGACAACACCGTGTATGTCATAGACCTTTTTATAATTCAATCCTTTACAACGTAAGTAAAGAAGTGAACTGTACTAAAAAATCAATAATATTGACAGTCATGGTGAGATAACTAGCTCGGTAAAGTTGAAGAATGTGACGTTATCATGTTTGAACATGGTTAGATAGAAAAAGCCGTCATACTGTCTTGATCAAATTGAACAAGATAATAAAACAAATATTGTGGCGAAATAGTTTCTTTGCTTGAACCAATTAATTAGTATGTTAGTATTTGGAATCCTCTCTATGTCACCAAATTTCTTCAACTTTCACTGATTCGTCATTCGTGCTAGTCATGACTGTACGAATTGACAATGTGTCTGTTATTGTACACTGTATTGTAGTTTGGCAGTGATATTTATTTCAAGAAATTTTTGTCAGTCGATGCTCAAATTCGTTACTTTTTACCTAGCCGACTTTTATGTGTTTCAATATGATTTCATGTTACCAGTACATATAATATTGATTCGGGACCATAAACTCGCTGGAAATTTAAAATTTGGCGTAACGAAATTATTGAGACATTTTTCAAGCCTACGTCCTATGATCTGCTTTTCAGTTTTTTGTGAAGTAATAAAGAATTGGGGTTCCCATTAATTTTTTGTCTCACTTATTTGTATTGGTTGTTCCAACTCTTAAAATTGTATTGTATGATTGATCACTCAAATACTGAGGAAACATCTTGTTTTGATTTCTACCGTGAATTAAACTATGTTATTCAGAATAAATAAAATTTAACCATTTGCTTCCTACAATATAACAAATAACACTCACAACCTTATAAAAGGTAGGATGGGGTTCGGTTTATTTGCGGTAGAGTTGCTAGCAGTATTCATCCTAGTCTGCCTACTTCTCCATCGTCATGGCAACTTCAGGACTCTACACCCTGCTGTAACAGCCTCTGTTCTCATCGCCTGGTGGTTCTCGTTTGTTATTGTGTTTGTTGTTCCGATGGATATCAGCGATGTTAGTATTTAAGTTTATTTATTTTCAAACATCTTGATTATATTGATTCGACCATTTTATATTGGTGTAGCTTTCTTCTTGAAGTTGATATAAAAACAGTTATTGAATCGAATTTATAAAATAAAGGTGAAATTAACGAATTAACGAATCACTTGCCATCATTCGACTTTGACTTCCTTTTTGTTGTACTCATAAATTCCTGCTATGCATAATTTTCTTAGCTTATCATGTTATTGTCTACTATAAAGTAGACCGATATTTCCAGATTACTGGCATTAAAATTATTGTAGTTGAATGACAGTGTTTTTTAATTAAGTCATCGTGGTAAAGATTGCACATAATATTATGTCAACGAGGCATGTTCAGTATCTATAAAAACTTCCATACTGTACTACATTTATGAAGCTCAAATCCCTTCATTGGCTCAAGGTGAAGGAAAGGATTGAGTTTAAGTTATGTTTACTGATTTTCAAAGCAGTCAATGGTGTTGCTCCTGCATATCTGTGTGATCTAGTAACATTTGTTAGTTCGAGTAGCAGAAGAACTTCCTCCTTACACCTACCTGTCGGATCTACAAGATCGCACCCAAGAGCGTTTCAGACTGTTGCTCCGAAAATCTGGAACCAACTACCAATTGAAATTAAGACTTGTTCTGATGTTGATCTGTTCAAAACATTATTAAAAACTCACTTGTTTAAGAAAAGTTATGGCATGAGCGATTAATTGACAATATAACTTTATGTTATTTGCTTAAACTGTTTAGGATGCAACCTAATGTCATGATCTTTTTGAACTTATTAGCAATTAGACTGTTAGCTCGCTTCATAAGCATGTCATCTTCGTTCCAAAACTTTTTATGTCCTATGCATACACTCCTTGATAGTTATCTTGATCTAGTATCTTTGTTTCACACAATAGAGCATAAGTTTTGTGGTTTATCCACTGGGCTTAGAGTTTGTGTTTAAGCTACCAAATTTTATTATTATTTATTTTTTATTATAATTTGAAACTAGCTGAACTATGTAATTATTCAGATAATGTGTTAAAAGCATATTCCCAGACTAGGGTTATTTGGTCATGTTATACTTCATCGAAAAAATTTTAATAACTTACAATTTTATTATCAACACTAGAGAAACTAAGATTACATTTTTGTACATTTTTGTACATTTTTGTACATTTTTGTACATTTTTGTACATTTTTGTACATTTTTGTACATTTTTCTACATTTTTCTACATTTTTCTACATTTTTGTCCATATTCATTACTTACTGTTACCTGACCACATTCCGCAGACACTATACGACAAGTGTGCTAGAGATCACTGTGTGAACATTACAGCCGCCAACTGCACAGTGATATGTAACCAACCACTCAGTTACCTTCCCCAGGAGTACCTGGAAGTGTTCTGGAACATTGTGTTCTGGTCTAGTCAGCTTCTAACTTGGTGAGTTAGTGTTCTGGAACATTGTGTTCTGGTCTAGTCAGCTTCTAACTTGGTGAGTTAGTGTTCTGGAACATTGTGTTCTGGTCTAGTCAGCTTCTAACTTGGTGAGCTAATGTTCTGAAACATTGTCTTCTGGTCTAGTCAGCTTCTAACTTGGTGAGTTAGTGTTCTGAAACATTGTGTTCTGGTCTAGTCAGCTTCTAACTTGGTGAGCTAATGTTCTGAAACATTGTCTTCTGGTCTAGTCAGCTTCTAACTTGGTGAGTTAGTGTTCTGGAACATTGTGTTCTGGTCTAGTCAGCTTCTAACTTGGTGAGTTAGTGTTCTGAAACATTGTGTTCTGGTCTAGTCAGCTTCTAACTTGGTGAGCTAATGTTCTGAAACATTGTCTTCTGGTCTAGTCAGCTTCTAACTTGGTGAGCTAGTGTTCTGAAACATTGTGTTCTGGTCTAGTCAGCTTCTAACTTGGTGAGTTAGTGTTCTGGAACATTGTGTTCTGGTCTAGTCAGCTTCTAACTTGGTGAGTTATTCCCGATCATAATGGGTTGTAAAACGATGATTTTTTTTGAGTACTCAGCTTCGCGGTAAAATTGTAGAGAATAGCATACAATATACATTCATTACACAGTATAAAATGTGGAATTTATTGTATTCTAAAGAAGTAATAAATACTCACTAGAGTCATTCTCGTGTTTAAGGACTAATCATTTAATGGGTTACATATTATAACGTACTATAGTTCCATTTATTTGAAGATTCTATAAAGGTCGAGACTCTGTACTCGATATTATAATATGTCATACCACGACCAGTATAACTAAACCAGGCTGTATAGTGTATAGTTATATTGTATTATATGTAAGTTTGTACAGTCTACTTGGTAAACATTGTACAATAATCGGCTGTTGTATTCTGTGTACTCTGTATATATATATGCTCAAACCAATTATACAGCAATTTGTAAATGACTTTTCTAATATGAATTTATTTCAACCAGCTTTTTCGTGCGTGATGCATCTACTCACGAAATAATTGACAATTAACTCAGCGTTTTAATTAATCAATTAAATTTGTTTTCAGGCTGATTTTACCCCTGCTGTCTTCGTACGTAGCAGCTGGAGAATTCACGATATCCGGCAAAGTTAAAACTGCTTTGATCGAGAACGCAGTTATCTATGGAACTCTTGGGATTCTCTTTGGAGTTTTACTTATTTATGTGGTTGCTAGCAAGCATCTTGACAAGTATGTTATTCTCAACTTCAATGAAATTTGAAAGTAAATATAGATGTACCGAATATTTATCTTTATTTATTCTTTATTAAAATTTTAAATACTCAAATAAAACTAGCCACCAAATTGTGTTCAGGATAGCAATTATAATTCTGCAATCAAAAATCTTCAAAAATAAATTGATAAACAGATTTTAACAGTCCGAAAAATTCTAATCAAGATAGCACATTTTATCAGCCTTACAGTGTACGCTCTGTATAACATCGCCGCTACACTTGGCAAAGTCCACATCTCCCAGACAATGACACAGCCTGTACCTCCTCACCTCACTCTCGTAACACACATTCCTCGGACATTCCTTCTCCGACCACTCCGTCCACTCGTACTTCTTCACTCCGCACTTCACACTCTCCGTCAGGTCTGTGTCCAGCCCACCACACTGCGTGTTGTCCACTACATCCTGGCATTTACACTCCCGTACTCGTGATGTAAACACAACATCACCACACTCCCGGTAGTCACAAGGCAGGGAGGTCCACTCTGTTAGTCTCCAATCAGATGTAGCCGGACACGTGACTGAGTGTAGCGTTGGTTCTTTACAGTTGCCACGGTAACCGAAACTGCACGTGCAAACCCCGCGCTGGTACACAGTGGTGTGGTAGCACCTAGGTGCTGCACTGGGACACACTAGCATGTCAGGGAATACTACCCGGCAGGTGTAGGTTGTCAGGGTGAAGTGTGCTGTGTCGTGTAGGCGGGGAGCAGCACTTCCCAGCACTACCAGACTGTAGGATAGGGAGATTGTGGACTGTTGTTTTTGTCGTATACCTGAGAATGTTCAACTAAACTGAATAATAATTGTTAATTATTGATGATAACATGAGATAACATGCGATCACAATAAATATTGCAATAAATGTTCACTATTCATAAAATATCACTATGGGTGGGTAGGAAGCTCACCTGATACCACTATAGACGTCCTCAGGAGGGAGCGATCAGTAGAGTACTCGTTCAGCTCTGTTTCGTGATTCCAGGATATTGAGCTGGGTACTATAAGAGCTCCTCTGACTTTTAAACTGAACGTTGCTGTGAGCTCCTGGTTCTCAACTTGTAATGCTATATCACGTGATTGCTCTACCTGTGTATAGATTTAAGTTAGACTGTTAAGAAATTATTTCATTAAAACTAACTAAGATGGTTAGTCGTTTGGTTTCAAATTATTTACTCTTTCGTGATGTGGATCACCTTTAATAAGTGATCAAACACCCGGTATCTTAAATGAGCTTACCGTTCCTTTTCTAAAATATCCTCACAGAAAAATACTTCTGGTACAAATCGATGAATAAGTAAATAATTAATAAGTAATTAATTAATAAGTAATTAGTTCATTTAAAGTAATTAATTAATAAGTAATCAATTTTAAATAAATAAATAGTATTAAAGTACCTGTATAACGTGGAGATGTAGAGATGTTGTTTTCACGTCCCCTTTATAAGACACAGACAAGGTATAGCTCTGTCTTCCCAACATCTTAGTCTGTCCAGGCGGAACAACAAACATCACTGATATCTCCCCAGCTTCACTGACCTGTGGATAATATCTTCAAGCATCTTTTTTTGTGATCAAGAGACATTTTTTGCTAAAATTCAGAATTTAGTGATACATACTTGATAATTATAGACTATACAGTACACATATTTTCGTAACACAACAAACATTTGAAGATCAAGTTTCACAGACCTGCTGAACAGTCCTGTACCCCACCATCTCATCGGACATAAGCTTCCCATCCGAGTTCCTGCTAATCTCCAGCACTCCTCTCGGCCAAGACACATCAGACCCCAGGATAGTGAGGGCCAGGCGCCCCTCCTCTCCTTGCTTGGTAACATTGTGGTGGGGTTTAAGATCCCAGATCACCAGGTCTGCCTCCCCTGTCACCTGACACCCACACCGGGTGATCACATGACACCTTAGTGTGAACCGTGAGACGTGCTGTGCTGCTGGAGGGATAGACAGAACCGAAACGGGAGACTCCCCCATCAAATACTCCTCTACTTTATACCCGAGTACCATGCTGGTAGTAGTGATGCTGACTGAACCCCCATCTCCTGTAGGGACCTCCCAAGTAAAGATAACATCCCCATCTATTGCACCTTGTGCCTCACACAGCACCTGGATATCAACAGTACGTGACACCGGGTGCACGTTATCGTAACACACCACAGTAAACAGTCTCACTGTACCCTCGGTTGTCACGTGACCTCCTACTGTGGTTGTCACGTGGTACTCACCAGGAAGCAGGTTGTCGGGAAGGGATCTTAGAGGCAGTTCAGCTAATTTGTATTGTAAATTCTTTCCAGTTCTCCAGCTAGTTGAGTATATCAAGGTTTTCTCTTCAGGATCAGTCAAATTCCAGTAGAGTTTGTCCTTTAGTAAAGCTCTATCTTTTTGAAAGATTGCGAAAAGACTGGCTTCGTCACATTGTTGCGATGTGACCCTGTTCAAGATACTGATACCCTCTATGGCATCATAGCTGTAACCTTCACAAAAGACAACCTCACTAATGGTTCGGTTCACAAACGCCACAATGTCTTCTTCTTTCTCACAGGATGAGATACAATGTGTCCCAGGTGTTGTCTGTGTAACTGGTGACTCCTCATGTCTGTAGATAAGATTATCAACCAACCCTTCTTCTTTTCTGGAACCATATACCTTGGTGGACTTGGCTGCTCGGAGGAGATAGTGAGGAGCTCTAGTACGGGCTCCTTTATGTTTCCGTGCACGTGAGTCCTGATTTTGATCGTTATACCTCAACTCTCCAGGAGCAATGTTATCTTTACGCTGCAGAAGAGGATTCTTTTTGTCAAGCGAACGTTCGAGCATACCTTCGAAACTGAATCTGTGCGAGGAGAGAGCTGGATGTTTTTGTAGAAGTTGAAGGTTGTCCATTTTGGGCTCGTTAGATCGCTCAAGTGATAGTTTTAGTTTATTTTGATATTCCGTCTTGGTTGATGAGGATGAATGGGACTGGAAAAATAGTTGCAGATTTAATGGGAGGCTCTTTTTGGGAGACAATGGGGAAACATATGTCTTTTTTCTTAGAAGCTGCTCTCCAAGTACATCATTATATCCGAGATCCAACTCATCAAAACTATCAGAATATCTGGTTTCTTTCTTAAAAGCTGGTCTCCTAGTACATCATTATATCCGAGATGTAACTCTTCGAATTTTTCAGGCATATCTGATTTCTTTTTTAGAATTGGTTCTCCTAGTACGTCATTGTATCTGAGATCCAGATCTTCGACTTTATCAGTTACATCCGCCAGTCTTCTCTTTTGATATTCCACTTCGACCTTATTTCCTCTGCCCTCTACAAGTTGGGTGCCCTTCTCAAAACGATGATTTTCTAATTTAATTCCAATGGTGAGACCAACCAAAATAATTATCAGAGGCATTACTATGGTTACTAAGTACGCAAGACAACTTCAAACGAGAGTGGCCGAGTGGCCAGTTTGTTAGATTCTCGTGAAAGTTGACCTTTGTAACATGACTTTTATCACGTGACTTTTATCACGTGACTTTTATCACGTGACTTTTATACAAGTTCATGGATGGTTGTCTGGCTTTGTTTTGTTTTCTAATTTACTGTCTAACTCTAATACATGCTATTATGAACGATCTTTTGCAGAGTGCAGATGTTATTTCCCCTTGCGATGAAAAAATACCATGACAACCATAGTTTAAGCAAACTACTGAAGTTACTGATTGATAGTTATAAACTTTGAATGTTGATGACAAGAATGTTCAATTTTGACTTTTGAGGTGGAAACTTTTTTCAAAATTTGAAGCTTTTCAAATTAGTGTAAATCAAAGATTCGTTAAAGTTTGTTATGTAGTGCCATATTAACATATATGCAACTGAAGCCAGTAGAACAAATAAATGCAGTATTCATGCCATCACAATTATAAGTAAATTTAAATTAAAACATTTGGAAACAATATCAATAAATCAGTAGAATCATAGTAGTCCCCACTCGTCATCAGCAAAATAAACGTCAGCACTTCAGCAGGGTCACGGTAAGTGTAGGAAAATAAAAATCCAGAATGAATTTCGGAATCGTTCGAATATCACGTAAGCGAGATTAGGTGGAGACAAGGTGGAGACTAAGTGGACACTGGGTGGAGATTAGGTGGAGACTAAGTGGAGATTAGGTGGACACTGGGTGGAGATTAGGTGGACACTGGGTGGAGACTAGGTGGACACTGTGTGGAGATTAGGTGGAGACTAAGTGGAGATTAGGTGGACACTGGGTGGAGATTAGGTTGACACTGGGTGGAGATTAGGTAGAGACTAAGTGGAGATTAGGTGGACACTGGGTGGAGATTAGGTGGAGACTGGAGACTAAGTGGAGATTAGGTGAGAGACTAAGTGGAGATTAGGTGGACACTGGGTGGAGACTAAGTGGAGATTAGGTGGACACTGGGTGGAGATTAGGTGGAGACTGGAGACTAAGTGGAGATTAGGTGAGAGACTAAGTGGAGATTAGGTGGACACTGGGTGGACACTGGGTGGAGATTAGGTGGAGACTAAGTGGAGATTAGGTAGACACTGGGTGGAGATTAGGTGGACACTGGGTGGAGATTAGGTGGACACTGGGTGGAGATTAGGTGGAGATTAGGTGGAGACTTAGTGGAGATTAGGTGGACACTGGGTGGAGATTAGGTGGAGACTAAGTGGAGATTAGGTGGACACTGGGTGGAGATTAGGTTAGAGACTAGGTGGAGACTGGGTGGAGACTAGGTGGAGATTAGGTGGAAACTAAGTGGTCATTAGGTAGAGACTAAGTAGAGACTAGCTATACTTTACCCATTTTGAATTAGGCATATTGTCATGAGTAAAAGTCGTCAGTTAATGTGATCAAGATCTTCACTCTTCATCAGCAAGGTCTTTATCAGCACGTGTGGTCTTCATCAGCAAGGTCTTTGTTATCACTTTATTCATCAGCAAGGTCTTCATCAGCAAAGTTTTCATCTCCTCTTTTGTACAGTTCAACTTGCATACAATGGTCATGCACAAAACAGGGCTTATATTTGATCGTGTCTTGACACAAATTACCATTATTTTCCCACACTCTGTGCTTTTGCATACAATCTTCTGTACAAGGTCCGTCAACAAATTCACCTGTGCATGCGTTTGATAGATCGCACGCAAAATCGCCGCACCTTTCCCGATCGCATGTTGGGTATGTGATTCTACGCCACTTATATTGCCCTCCAGCTGCCTCCCTACATTTCCCAACATTCCTCCAGTCCCCACACCCAGAGCAGTCGAGCTCTTCTTCTTCTGATGTTATGGGAAAAGTGTTACATTCTCCACCTAAACATGACTCGAACGACAAAACATCATCACACCGACCATCTTTCTTGTGTAGAATCCGTTTCTTTTGTTCACAGTATTCATCACAGCCACCCTCCAACATCATCCCTTGACACTTCTCCATGTAGTCAGCTTGTGCACACATCTGTGTATCACAGCTCGTCACGTCGCACCTATCGCTGTGTGTGAGGCTGCGCACAAACAGAAACCCTTTTTCTCCATCCTGCTCACATTCAATTGGAGTTTTGTCGTATCCACCACATTCACGGCAGTCGAAAATACGCTGAAACGCCACTACGGACGTTATGTTCAGAGCAAAGAAAATAATTGCCAGTTGCATTGCCATGGTTACTGAGAATACAATAATGAAGTAGGCTAGTTTGTAGTTGAGAGTTGGTACCTGTATTGTCCGTGTCACGTGACATTTGTTTTGGCACGTAACATTTGTTTTGACTTGAAAGTATAATAACAGCGTGTTGAACATAACTGAAGGAAGTTTTAACGGTTAAATTACTGCGCACTTGTTTACCCTAAACTCTTTAGAATGTCCTATTTGCTCAGGAAATACTGAAAGAAACAGATCAAAATCAAGAGTGAAGTTAATAATTTTAAATTAAATTTATCATCATATTTTATAAACTGTAGGTCGTAATACATATTATGAAAATTCACGAACCGTCAAAAAATTCCAGTTTCTAAACTTGAAGATAAATTTTTGGTGACCTACTAGTTCGGCTGATTGTAACCAGCATTCCCACTGTTTCCCCTAAGACTTACAGAATTGTAATGATAACTTTATAAAAATAACAAAAACAATTCAACAACATGATGTTTGAAAGTATCTGCATACAAATTTTATGACTCCTCTTTCAGAGAAGCGATCAAAGTGTTGTGTATAACAGCTAGTAACACATGGGGACTGCTAGTTCTGATCTTCCTAATGGGTTATGGTCTAGTACAGGTTGGTGATACTTTTACAGAGAATATTATCATGTGGTTAATATACAGGGTGGCCCATAAAAGACTACCCATCCTTATCTCTTAAAATTGTAACAAGTCGTTGAGATCTTGATAATTATTTTAAAAACAAAAAGTGGCATAACTTATGTTCTGATAAATATTTTTGCTTCTAAATTTCACAGAATGTTAATAACAAGTAGCTAAACCTTTGTGGCAAGTTTTGTGTGAGTGCGAGCTTCACTGCGCTTATTTGACCAATTTAGCCCCTGAGCGAGCCAAGGTTGTTAAATACGTCAAATTTTCGTGAAATAATACGACGTATTCGGTTCTAATAAAGAATACGTCGTAATACGGTAATTTCTATGGATTGTTAAATACGTCCACGAATACGCCATAATATGCCGTAATACGCTGATTTGTCAAAATTAAACATTACATCTGCGCGCCACCCTCATCATTGATCATGCATTAAAGGAGTGCAGTTATACATGATAACTTAAATTTGTAATCAAATTTCATGGATAATCCGATAAGCAAACAATTTTTTTCGCGCACGACACACCTTTTCGTAATACGTCAATTGTCGAGGATTAATACGTATTCATATTCCAATACGTATTCCCTCCTTATACGTATTTAACAACCTTGGAGCGAGCTAGCTTGAATTTCTCACCCAGAACTGTTTACATTGGTTAATAGGAACCACCAAAAAAAATCCTGGGTTAAAAAAATCAAAAAACCAGCGATTTATTCACGTTCAATGGTTTATTCCATTCTCTCTATATTTTAACTGATAAGGACTATCGCAGATGATCCTTCCTGCTTGTTTTAAATATCGTTCTTCTCACATGGAATGTGCGATGCATCATGGTGAATAGAATTGGTGAAACATAAATAAATCGGTGGTTTTTTAATTTGTTTACCCAGGATTTTTTTTGGTGGTTCCTATTAACCAATGTAAACAGTTCTGGGTGAGAAATTAAAGCTAGCACGCTCAGGAGCTAACTTTGTCAGACAAGCTCAGACTCACACAAAACTTGGCACGAAGTTGTGTCTAATTATGATTGACATTCTCTAAAAATTTGAAGCAAAAATATTAATCAGAACGTAAGTTATGGCGCTTTTCCATTCTGAAATAAAATAATTAGCAAGATCTCAGCGACCTGTTACAATTTTAAGAGATAAGGATGGGTAGTCTTTTATGGGCCACCCTGTATTATGCTACACATTTACATGCGTACGTACATGCATACATAGTACATACTTCAGTGGTCGACCGAGGCCCCGGCCCTGGCCAAAATCACAACCCGGCCCTTCCCGGCCCCGGCCAAAATTTGGCAGATCGCCGAGGGTAAACCACATATCATGTGGTTAATATATAATGATGCATACATAATTACATACATACTTACATACTTAGATGCTTACTTACATGCGTACATACTTACATACATACTTACATAAGTATTGTATTAAATATTACTTAAACAATAAACACGATGTACACGGGGGTCGGGGCACATTGTTCAGTGGTCCCAGTCTCCTTCACATATTGTGTTAGAACTATTGATTATTGGATAAAAGTCAGTGTATAAACTGGGTATCTCTAGTTACCAACCCTAGTTACCAACCCTAGTTACCAACCCTAGTTACCAATTCTAGTTACCAATTCTAGTTACCAATTCTAGTTACCAATTCTAGTTACCAACTCTAGTTACCAACCCTAGTTACCAATTCTAGTTACCAACTCTAGTTACCAATTCTAGTTACCAATTCTAGTTACCAGCTCTAGTTACCAACCCTAGGTCCCAAGAGCATGTTGGGAGCGCGGTTCATACTCAGAGTTACTTACACAGAAAAGATTTGATGTTAGCAAGATAAAGATTGAGGTAGAGGAGGCTCAGGAAAAGTTAAGCCAAATAATTGAGGTAAGTGGCAGGAGAAATCTGACTGTTATAGTACATTTACTAAGATCATAAGATATTATGATTGGCCAGTAATATTTTCTTTAGTAGCATGAAATTTGAAAACCAACTGTTATGCTATCAGTATTTTTCGATATTTCTATTATTCTGGGATAAAATTTCAGGAAGTGAGACATATAAACAGATTAGTTCCGCGCTCAAACGAACTTAGGAAATTTGTTGACATTATAATCGAAAAGGTAAGGCCCCCATTTATTCATATAGATTGGATAAAATGGATATAACGCAATTCACTTATTTGGAGAAATATAATTCCAATTATCTGAATCATTAATAACAAATGTATTTTAACATTGATTTTGCATAATCCAACACATAATTTCAGTGTCCAAGTTTGGAAAATGAAGATCTAGCAAATGTTAACTATGATGACTACGCAAATGGGCGTGACGATGTCACAATTAGCCGCTCTAGCTTAGTTTCTGTTCACGCCAAAGTTATATCAGTTCATACTAACATGCATAGATGCCAGGTGTAAGTTCTTTTCCAATTTTAACTAATAAAAACACCAAATTATTAACTAAATCAATCATTTATTTAACTTTTAATAAACTGATTTGTCTATACTTTGATTATTAATCACACTGTACAGATCAGTTTACTCATATTAACACGTGACATAATCATAGATTCACTTGTTCTGTTCAAGCCTATGAATATACAGATATACGTCAAACATCACTCGTGACGCAATCTGTGGGTTAATTATAATAGCTTGGCTCGTGGTTCGTACTTTGTGATCGACCAATCCATATCGGGAGACGGATTAGATAACGAACGAGCGGGCGCGATCGCCAAATCAATTTAAGTCAGGGTAACACAACGATGCATCGAATCACTGCGCGTCTTTAATGACAGGTCGCGCGCGCACTTATTTGCGCTGCGGTTTGCCTGGCTCCTTCAATCCACTTCATAAGGTGGATGCTGACAGTTTCCCAGCCAGCCAAGCGTCATTACCCATTACATTGCATTAGTGAATAGGCCGATACAATATAGCATTATATTTCAAGCAACATGTATTTCCGGCTTGTATTGAAACTGTAGCTGATTTGAATATGGGGGGGGGTGTCACGTCCGTCTATGTCCGCTTGTCTCATAGAATCCAAAAAAGACAGGACATAGGCGGACATAGGCGGACATAGGCGGACATAGACGGACATAGGCGGACATAGGCGGACATAGACGGACATAGGCGGACATAGGCGGACATAAATGGACACCTAAATTGCTAAATAAAATGTTCAATTTTTGCTGTTATAGGGGGATCATGTTTTTTGTCCGTTCGGTACCATATATTTTCAAAACGGACAAAAAATAGAGCGGACAAAAATGAACAAAAACGGACAAAAATGGAAATAACATTTAGATGCTTCCTCCTCCTACTCTTCCTCCTCCTCCCCCTGGGTCTTCCTAATCTTCCTCAGTCCTCTTCCTCCTCCCCTCCTCAGTCCTCCTCCTACTCCTCCTCCTCGTCCTCAGTCCTCCTCATCAGTCCTCAACAGTCCTCCTCCTCCCCAGTCCTCCTCCTCCTCCTGAGTCCTCCTCCTGGGTCCTCCTGGGTCCTCCTCCTCCTCCTGGGTCCTCCTCCTGGGTCCTCCTCCTCCTCTTCATCCTCCTCCTCTTCCTCCTCAGTCCTCTGTCCTCCTCCTCATCCTTCTCTTCAGTCCTCCATCCTCCTCCTCAGTCCTCCCCCAGTCCCCCTCCTCCTCCTCCTATTCAGTCCTCCTACTCCTCCTTCTCAGTCCTCCTCAGTCCTCCTCCTCCTCCTCCTCCTCTTCCCTCTCAGTCATCCTCCTCAGCCATCCTCCTCAGTCCTCCTCAGTCCTCCTCCTCCTCAGTCCTCCTCCTCCTGGGTCCTCCTCCTCCTCTTCCTCCTCGGTCCTCAGTCCTCCTCCTCCTGGGTCCTCCTCCTCATCCTTCTCATCAGTCCTCCTCCTCCCCAGTCCTCTCCCAGTCCCCCTCCTTCTCCTCCTCCTATTCAGTCCTCCTCCTCCTCCTCCTCAGTTCTCCTCAGTCCTCCTTCTCATTTCTCCTAAGTCCTCCTCCTGAGTCCTCCTCCTGAGTCCTCCTCCTGAGTCCTCCTCCTGAGTCCTCCTCCTGAGTCCTCCTCCTCTTCCTTCTGAGTCCTCCTCCTCCTCCCTCTCAGTCATCCTCCTCAGTCATCCTCCTCAGCCATCCTCACCAGCCATCCTCCTCAGTCATCCTCCTCAGTACTCCTCAGTCCTCCTCCTTCTCAGTCATCGTCAGTCCTCCTTCTCAGTCCTCCTCAGTCCTCCTCCTCCTCCTCCTCCTCTTCCCTCTCAGTCATCCTCCTCAGCCATCCTCTACAGTCCTCCTCAGTCCTCGTCCTCAGTCCTCCTCCTCCTGGGTCCTCCTCCTCCTCTTCATCCTCCTCCTCTTCCTCCTCGGTCCTCAGTCCTCCTCCTCCTGGGTCCTCCTCCTCATCCTTCTCATCAGTCCTCCTCCCCAGTCCTCTCCCAGTCCCCCTCCTTTTCCTCCTCCTATTCAGTCCTCCTCCTCATCCTCCTCAGTTCTCCTTCTCATTTCTCCTAAGTCCTCCTCCTCCTCTTCATCCTCCTCTTCTTCCTCCTCGATCCTCAGTCCTCCTCCTCCTGGGTCCTCCTCCTCATCCTTCTCATCAGTCCTCCTCCCCAGTCCTCTCCCAGTCCCCCTCCTTTTCCTCCTCCTATTCAGTCCTCCTCCTCATCCTCCTCAGTTCTCCTTCTCATTTCTCCTAAGTCCTCCTCCTGAGTCCTCCTCCTGAGTCCTCCTCCTCTTCCTTCTGAGTCCTCCTCCTGAGTCCTCCTCCTCCTCCCTCTCAGTCATCCTCCTCAGTCATCCTCCTCAGCCATCCTCCCCAGCCATCCTCCTCAGTCATCCTCCTCAGTACTCCTCAGTCCTCCTCCTTCTCAGTCATCGTCAGTCCTTCTCCTCAGTCCTCCTCAGTCCTCCTCCTCCTCCTCGGTCCTCCTCCTCCTCCTCCTCCTGGGTCTTCCTGATCCTCCCCAGTCCTCTTCCTCCTCCCCTCCTCAGTCCTCCTCCTACATAAATGGACACCTAAATTGCTAAATAAAATGTTCAATTTTTGCTGTTATAGGGGGGATCATGTTTTTTGTCCGTTCGGTACCCTATATTTTCAAAACGGACAAAAAATAGAGCGGACAAAAACGGACAAAAATGGACAAAAACGGACAAAAATGGAAATAACATTTAGATGCTTCCTCCTCCTACTCTTCCTCCTCCTCCCCCTGGGTCTTCCTAATCTTCCTCAGTCCTCTTCCTCCTCCCCTCCTCAGTCCTCCTCCTACTCCTCCTCCTCGTCCTCAGTCCTCCTCATCAGTCCTCAACAGTCCTCCTCCTCCCCAGTCCTCCTCCTCCTCCTGAGTCCTCCTCCTGGGTCCTCCTGGGTCCTCCTCCTCCTCCTGGGTCCTCCTCCTGGGTCCTCCTCCTCCTCTTCATCCTCCTCCTCAGTCCTCAGTCCTCCTCCTCATCCTTCTCTTCAGTCCTCCATCCTCCTCCTCAGTCCTCCCCCAGTCCCCCTCCTCCTCCTCCTATTCAGTCATCCTACTCAGTCCTCCTCCTCCTCCTCCTCCTCTTCCCTCTCAGTCATCCTCCTCAGCCATCCTCCTCAGTCCTCCTCAGTCCTCCTCCTCCTGGGTCCTCCTCCTCCTCTTCATCCTCCTCCTCTTCCTCCTCAATCCTCAGTCCTCCTCCTCCTGGGTCCTCCTCCCAATCCTTCTCATCAGTCCTCCTCCTCCCCAGTCCTCTCCCAGTCCCCCTCCATCTCCTCCTCCTATTCAGTCCTCCTCCTCCTCCTCCTCAGTTCTCCTCAGTCCTCCTTCTCATTTCTCCTAAGTCCTCCTCCTGAGTCCTCCTCCTGAGTCCTCCTCCTCTTCCTTCTGAGTCCTCCTCCTGAGTCTTCCTCCTCCTCCCTCTCAGTCATCCTCCTCAGTCATCCTCCTCAGCCATCCTCCCCAGCCATCCTCCTCAGTCCTCCTCCTCCTCAGTCCTCCTCCTCCTGGGTCCTCCTCCTCCTCTTCCTATTCAGTCCTCCTACTCCTCCTTCTCAGTCCTCCTCAGTCCTCCTCCTCCTCCTCCTCCTCTTCCCTCTCAGTCATCCTCCTCAGCCATCCTCCTCAGTCCTCCTCAGTCCTCCTCCTCAGTCCTCCTCCTCCTCAGTCCTCCTCCTCCTGGGTCCTCCTCCTCCTCTTCCTCCTCGGTCCTCAGTCCTCCTCCTCCTGGGTCCTCCTCCCAATCCTTCTCATCAGTCCTCCTCCTCCACAGTCCTCTCCCAGTCCCCCTCCATCTCCTCCTCCTATTCAGTCCTCCTCCTCCTCCTCCTCAGTTCTCCTCAGTCCTCCTTCTCATTTCTCCTAAGTCCTCCTCCTGAGTCCTCCTCCTGAGTCCTCCTCCTCTTCCTTCTGAGTCCTCCTCCTGAGTCTTCCTCCTCCTCCCTCTCAGTCATCCTCCTCAGTCATCCTCCTCAGTCATCCTCCTCAGCCATCCTCCTCAGCCATCCTCCTCAGTACTCCTCAGTCCTCCTCCTTCTCAGTCATCGTCAGTCCCCCTCCTCCTCCTATTCAGTCCTCCTCCTACTCCTCCTTCTCAGTCCTCCTCCTCCTCCTCTTCCCTCTCAGTCATCCTCCTCAGCCATCCTCCTCAGTCCTCCTCAGTCCTCGTCCTCAGTCCTCCTCCTCCTGGGTCCTCCTCCTCCTCTTCATCCTCCTCCTCTTCCTCCTCGGTCCTCAGTCCTCCTCCTCCTGGGTCCTCCTCCTCATCCTTCTCATCAGTCCTCCTCCCCAGTCCTCTCCCAGTCCCCCTCCTTCTCCTCCTCCTATTCAGTCCTCCTCCTCCTCCTCCTCAGTTCTCCTCAGTCCTCCTTCTCATTTCTCCTAAGTCCTCCTCCTGAGTCCTCCTCCTCTTCCTTCTGAGTCCTCCTCCTCCTCCCTCTCAGTCATCCTCCTCAGTCATCCTCCTCAGCCATCCTCACCAGCCATCCTCCTCAGTCATCCTCCTCAGTACTCCTCAGTCCTCCTCCTTCTCAGTCATCGTCAGTCCTTCTCCTCAGTCCTCCTCAGTCCTCCTCCTCCTCCTGGGTCCTCCTCCTCCTCCTCCTCCTGGGTCCTCCTGGGTCTTCCTGATCCTCCCCAGTCCTCTTCCTCCTCCCCTCCTCAGTCCTCCTCCTACTCTTCCTCCTCGTCCTCAGTCCTCCTCATCAGTCCTCAACAGTTCTCCTCCTCCCCAGTCCTCCTCCTCCTCCTGGGGCCTTTTCCTGGGTCCTCCTCCTGGGTCCTCACCCTCCTGGGTCCTCCTCCTCCTGGGTCCTCCTTCTCCTCCTCAGTCCGTCTCCTCCTCCTCCTCAGTCCTCTTCCTCTTCTTCCTCCTCCTCCTCCCTCTCAGTCATCCTCCTCAGCCATCCTCCTCAGCCATCCTCCTCAGTCCTCCTCCTTCTCAGTCCTCCTCAGTCCTCCTCCTGAGTCCTCCTCCTCCTGAGTCATCCTCCTCAGTTCTCCTCCTCCTCCTCCTAGGTCCTCCTTCTGGGTTCTCCTCCTCCTCCTCCTCCTGGGTCTTCCTGATCCTTCTCCTCCCTCTCAGTCATCCTCCTCAGTCATCCTCCTCAGTCATCCTCCTCAGCCATCCTCCTCAGCCATCCTTCTCAGCCATCCTTCTCAGCCATCCTCCTCAGTACTCTTCAGTACTCTTCAGTACTCTTCAGTACTCTTCAGTACTCTTCAGTCCTCAAAATTTTTGTCCGCTAATGTCCACCAATGTCCGCTAATGTCCACCAATGTCCATCCAAGTCCGCCAATGTCCGTCCGGGTCCGCCAATGTCCGTCCGAGTCCGCCAATGTCCGTCCGAGTCCGCCAATGTCCGTCCGAGTCCGCCAATGTCCGTCCGTGTCCACCAATGTCCCAAAAAACACGTCCGTTGTCTCATAGAATCCAAAAAGGACAGGACATAGGCGGACATAGACGGACATGACACCCCCCCCAATATGAAGCCTCATTACTACCCCGTCCTTTGTATAAGGACTTGTGAAATTTACCTCAGTCGTGTGGCTAACTTAAATGTCCCTGTGAACAGCCGGCGGATTGCTTTGAAATGAAAATCCAGTTATTTTAGAAACGTACAAATTAAATGTAACTATGTAAAATACTTATTTCAGATTGTGGGATATAACCGTATCAGATGGGTTAGATTTGGAGGATTGGGTATTGATGAGAAACAAAGAATATAGAGCAGATTCAAAGCTTGGTTTAATACAATATTATGTTAGAATATTTATCATACCAATATTATTGAAAGCAATCTCGGTTCTATTTGCCCTCATCTCTATTGTGGTGAGTTTTTATCGAATATTGTTGTTTTTAAGCAGCATATTTTAACCCAAAGTAAATCGATATTATAGTACACAATATGATGTAACTGTTCTTCTTTGCTATATAGTGTTCGTTATACTGCAGAAATGTGTGTAAACTTTAGCCTTTTAAAACTTCAGATAATATGGAGTGAAATGGTTTTCTCAGTAAAACATCCTACCTTAACGATATGTGCTCTTCTGGTTGATTTTGTGAAAAGTCCAGCTATGGTCGTGGTGAGTGCTTTAATTGATGTAAAATTTGTGTTTTGTGGTATCATATTACATTTCTTTGCATGCTACAAAAAGACGTCAGATTTCAACATTTCAACGAGCGCAAACCATAATTTTCTCCGTAATCTCACTTTCCACTGATCGCATCCTGTCCCTCAGTACACACAATAAATTTCAGCAGGTGGAGCACTTTCCCGAATTTCACATTCCATTCTTCACCACGATTGAAAGGATCAAGCTCGGAAACATTGAATTTTTCACATATCTCGTTGCGATCGAAGCTGGCAAGCATTTCCATAAGATCTGAGACTTGCTCGTACACGGTGTAGGACTCTTCCTCTGATTTGGGGTTGTAATCCGCCACTGCATCCTCGATATCTCTATTAATAGCCTCTGTGTCTGTCATGTGGAGGATAAGAAATAGGGTTGAAATCATCAGGAGGGTGCTTCTTGGTTGCATGTTTGCTGTTTCCTTAGAATAAATGAGGTTGTTTATTGTTTAATTTAAAACGTTCGTGTGTTTGATCGAAACTGCATATTCAATGGAACATCAAAATATTGCGAACTAACAAATTCAATAACTAAAGTATCTCAATATTTAAGAAACCATATCGTACAAAACTTAACACTCATACAAGTAAATACCGGCAACATAAATTTATTTATCAAGAATGTGCTGCGATTTGTCAAAGCTATCGCTATCCATAATATGCATTAATGCAGGACATTTGGAATGCGGCGATGTAAATGTTCAAACCGCGTAAGTGATAACAACCCCAGTCACTAAAATGGACTGTCAGCGAGTATTTCAAACCAGCACAAGACACGAAATACCTTCTGGACAGACCCCCTACTCTTCAACACTTAATTAGGTTAAAACTGTGTGTCAGTTTAATGGGAATCCCAGTCCAGCACATGTGCGAACAGTTATCGCTTACAAAAGACCAAGTTCTGGCTACAGCTTTTCAAGATATTAATTCGATCTGACGGACGACTGACGAGTAATATACCTTATTATATGAAATTTATACCTCACTTATACAGTCCGACAGTAAATTTGTGCGATTTTCTTATAGAAGGAGGTGCGATTCGAGCTCTATTTTTTCATAGAAGATAATGAATAGCAATGGAACGCATTGAAACCGCATTTGATAAAAATAAATGAACCCGTAAAATGAAGTGATGATGAGCTGGAAGTGGAAAACACTGTCATAGTGATGGTAGAAGCGGGGGATCATACACTTATTCTATACAATTTTACGGTCAATCTCAGCTTTTCTCATGGTCAAATAACACCAAGCTCAGTAATTATATAGATTCATAACGATACTGGAAACTTCTGGGGTTTACAAGTTATCGCTATGTATCATTTAGGCATGTAGTTATATAATAAGCATGAAGACCTAATAGTCTTCCGTAAGGGCTGCAATCACCTTTGGATTGCATGATGCATGTCTTTTTTTTCTGTAATTTCGAGGTGGAAAAGGTCCAGGCGACCACCTACTCCAAGCAAGGCATCTGATACTATACAACACAATACAATTTATTTATAAATCACTATTAGTACAGTCAAATACGTCTTTTTGTCGGACAAAATTCGCAACAAAGCGATTTTAACGGGATATGTTCGGGACAGGTCCCAGGAATCATTCCAGAGAGTTCCCAAAAAAAAAGACTTCAGGAAAATCCACAATTACCACTTTTCTACCACCTTTTTACCACTTTGGTTTTCCGCAAATAAGTCACGTTCTGAATATCCTAGAAGATTCTAGTTAAAAGCAGTGTGTTTAGAAAACAAAGAAGAACAACTTTTTCTCTAACAACTTTTTCAAAAATAAATTATTTAATTAATTAATCAAATAATTAAAAAAATTTAAAATATTTCAAAAATATATTTTGATAAAAATGTTCACAATTACATTCCACGTATAATGAACTAATTTTTATAAAACTTTCGAAAATTTTCACTTTCAATATTTTGGACTTGTAAAATTTTCGAAATTTGTAAAGAATAACCACTATTTACCACTTTTTACCACATTGAATCTCCGCTAATAAAACGACTTCTGAATGTCGTAGAAGGTTCTAGATTGAACATAAAAAGAGAACAACTTTTTATCTGATAACCTTTGGATTAAATAATTAATTAATTAGTTATTCGATTATTAAACAAATATTCAAAAATTATAATAATTATTTTCGATCAAAATATTTTAAAATTACATAACACGAATAATTGACAACTTTTCATTAAACTAATCGGAAAATCGAAGCAGTACTTTATATAACCATATATACTAGATAAGAGTCTTACTTATGAGTCCTCAGCTGGCACATTGGTGCAATTGTGCTGACGTTTGAGGCAGGTTGATCCACAATGTATTCCTGCTTTTCTGCATGAACAAGTATTGCCACAACCTGACTTTAAACAGTTGCAACTGATGTTTTGAATGATCTTTTTCGGAGCTGTACTCATAAGAGTGGTCACTGGTACATGCGTCCCATTGTTCATCTTCCATCCCCATTCCCCAGCTTATCATCTATGAGGTCATTCTCATCCCACGCCTGCAGCTGATGGTAAACACGATAAGAATGTTGTTCAGCTGCCCCCTGTATAAGTAATGTTTCAAATCGGTATTATAGCAGCAACGTGGTCGTTAAATAACACTTAGAAATCAAAATGTCCTCCAAGATTAGGGGGAGTGGGGGTGCCATTAGTCAATACACATACGTTGAGTCTTATAATCAACATGTACTCGTGTTTGCGAACATGCTGTAAACTGCACTATAACATATTATTGCAATAGGCCATTACATTCGGAATATGATCTGAAAAGATGGCGCGAAACGGATTGAAAATGACGAAGTTATCAAGCAATTTGTTTATCTCGTTAGCGAAACTGATTGGGTTATCAATGATTACCCAATCGTTAATCACGTGACAGGGTGTTAGGATACTGTAATTGGGCTTTCTGCACGATTTCTGTGCCACTCATTCACTGGATCAGACACCACCAGTCGGATCCACGGAGTTGGTAAGGATCGGCTATTCAGAACGATTCCGATAGTGGGAATCTAGTGCACTAAGCTACGGAGAAAGTCACGTGAAATTTTTGGGCGAGCGAATTAGTAAGAGCCTAACGTATGTGCACTATACCGGTCCTCCCCCCTCCCCCACACAATAACTTACCCTGTCTGTAATCCGATTTGAGGATTTATCATTTGGTGCGATCTCTACGTTACAGAATGGACATTTGTTTAAACCGTGTTTGTGGACTAAAGATGGTTCTGAGTCGGTTACAACGGACTCATCTTCATTGGCCGATATGAATCTTTGGAACTGGTCTATGGTCACTGTCTGCAATAACATACAATAGACGTCACTCTGAGCAGAATCAGTCAGGCCGTTGTACTGCCGTTTAATTTCGTTCATTGACCAGGGGTTGTTGATCCAACCTGTGTTACGATGGTTTGTTTATTTATACAGAGTATGAGAGGCCTCAGGATAATGAATAGGACTGTAACCATCCGTTTCAAACTTGCTGGGCATAGTTTAAAAGTTAGTGTACTTACTTAAAAGATAAATAGTTAAAATAGTACCTGGGGACAGCAACCCTTTCCAGATTTCATTCCATACAAATTTACTTTGTCGATCATTCGCTATTCACCGGAATTAACTCCTCATTTGCCTGGTAAATTAAAAAATAGTATTGGTTAAGAATGCCTCTAGTTGCGCTCTCGAGTCTCGGTTGACATAAAACTTAAAAGTAAAACGGTAAAAACAAAATATTACTATTATTGTACATATATAAGAGGTTGCGTGTGGGTAGTCACTTTTGGGCCACCCTGTATATTAGTTGACAGCTACTTACATAGAATCTGCACGCGTACAGTATCAGGCACACGATGTGTTCTTCTGTTTTCAAAATGTCAACTATTTGGAGTGATTTCAGTCCTCGATTTTTAGCAGATTCAACTTTTTTACGAAGAGAAGTCAACATAAAGTAAAAGCTGAAGCTTACACTTCCAAACGATAAACTGACAATCAGAGATAAGATCTCTAGTTAGCGATTGAAAAATTGCTAAGTCTTGTTTAAACAACCATTTTAACAATCTAGTTAAGCACAATACTAAGTCGAGAGATATGATATGTTAATAGTTATAAGCTAGAATAGTATCGTACAAATTTGGATATTTTACCGTATATTCCATTTATCTGCATCTTTTTTTATCTGTTATCTAATCTATGTGACGATGTATGTTCTGTTATTCAAGTAAATTCATTTTACGTTTCACGTCACGGCAAATATTTTTGATAAAAATTATATTTTGAAATTTAAAAAAATTTAATTATTATTTAATTAATTAATCAATTATAAATATCTAATCCAAAGGTTGTCACATAAAATGTTGTTCTCTTTTATGTTTTGAACACATTGGTTCAATCTAAAACCTTCTACGACATTCAGAAGTCGTTTTATTAGCGGAGATTCAATGTGGTAAAAAGTGGTAAATAGTGGTTATTCTTTACTAATTTCAAAAATTTTTAAAGTCCAAAATATTGAAAGTGAAAATTTTCAAAAGTTTTATAAAAATTGGTTCATTATACGTGGAATGTAATTGTGAACATTTTTATCAAAATATATTTTTGAAATATTTTAAATTTTTTTAATTATTTAATTAATTAATTAAATAATTTATTTTTGAAAAAGTTGTTAGAGAAAAAGTTGTTCTTATTTGTTTTCTAAACACACTGCTTTAAACTAGAATCTTTTAGGATATTCAGAACGTGACTTATTTGCGGAAAACCAAAGTGGTAAAAAGGTGGTAGAAAAGTGGTAATTGTGGATTTTCCTGAAGTCTTTTTTTTGGGAACTCTCTGGAATGATTCCTGGGACCTGTCCCGACCATATCCCGTTAAAATCGCTTTGTTGCGAATTTTGTCCGACAAAGGCTTAAATTAGGACGGATTTGACTGTACTATATCTTTTTTTTCAAAACAT